TGGGAGGCCAGGAACCAATCATGGTAGCCTAGTGGTAGGGCATTCACTTCCTGATCGGGAGGCCCAGGAACCAGTCACGGTAGCCCAGTGGTAGGGCATTTGCTTCGTGATTGGGAGGCCTGGGTTCAATTCTCATTTGGCAGGCCACGTCAAATCTAATACCAAATTGTAGGTAGTGACTGTTCCTTTGCCAAAAAGAAAGTTATGGGTCTTTTGGATGATACTTTGAAAACTGAAGCCCCTTGTCACAGCAGGCATTGGCATGATAAAGATCCCTCACTCAATGGCCCTGAGTGCCAAGTATAGGTTTAAATCTGAATCCCTTCACTGCAGGCTCTATATGAGTGAAAAATTTTCAAATAGGATGTTAAACAACATACAATCAATCAATCCAAATAAGGATTGTCTGGATCAGCATTGTCAGCAAGCAAAAAAGAGTACAAACACAGCTAGCGCTATCCTACTTAAAATCAGTATTGACCATCTAGCATTAGGAAACTGCAGTGATTTTGTTTATCTAGCAATACGTTCTATTTCCATTAGTGAACTCTTCAAAATTAGAGGCGCGTTTGGTCGTCTGACTGGGACAGCATGGCGTGGCGGATAATACAAAACATGCCAAACTCAATCCAATTTTAAATGTTAAATGTATTTGTCATTCAATTTAAAGAATAGAAGAACTAAAAGACATATGTAAGAGAGTGAGAACCCTAAATTTATCACCCATTAATAAAAAATATGACATTTCTGAGGCATGTGTATTGTATTTAGATGTACCATACGATAAATAGATATATACGATCAACAATAGATATAAATTGATATCATTGTCATTCCTACTCTTGATGTATATAAAGTCCACAACAATGTTTCATTTGCATTTTATTAGGAACTGTTCATCGATATTCAACATATTGTTTACATATTTATGTTATGTTTGTCCCAGAAATCCCGCGAGATTTGTACATTTTCAGACTTTTTCACAAAAGAGCGCACTAAGAAGTATAACTCTTCCATAGTGGAAATAGAACGTATTAAAAAAGGAAAAAGAGAACTGGAATTCAAAGGTTTTGATTTTACAAATGAATATTTTTATAAAATTATAATATAAAGCATTTTATTCTTAAAATTGTAATACTGAAATTCAGTTATTATACCCCACGCAACAAGTTGCGGGGGGTATAATGTTTTTGACCCGTCCGTCAGTCAGTCAGTCAGTCAGTCAGTCAGTGTGTCAGTCAGTCAGTGTGTCAGTCAGTCAGTCAGTCCGTCAGTCCTGTTTTTTTTGTCAGCGCAACTCCTCATAAACCGCTGCACAGAATTTCATCAAACTTTGCAGATATTTAGGACACAATGTGTAGATGTGCATATTACCAGGAAATTCCGATTCCTTTATTTTTTCTGGGAATTTCGGCACTTTTCAACTTAGATTTTTAGCCATATCTTGAATATAGAGATGAACAGTTTGTCAGCGCAACTCCTCAAAAACCATTGCACAGAATTTCATCAAACTTTGCAGATATTTAGGACACAATGTGTAGATGTGCATATTACCAGGAAATTCCGATTCCTTTATTTTTTCTGGGAATTTCGGCACTTTTCATCTTAGATTTTTGGCCATATCTTGAATATAGAGATGAACAGTTTGTCAGCGCAACTCCTCATAAACCGTTGCACAGAATTTAGTCAAACTTTGCAGATATTTAGGACACAATGTGTAGATGTGCCTATTACCAGGAAATTCCAATTCCTTTATTTTTCTCGGAATTTCGGCACTCTTCAACTTAGATTTTTGGCCATATCTTGAATATAGAGATGAACAGTTTGTCATCGCAACTCCTCTTAAACCGCTGCACAGAATTTCACCAAACTTTGCAGATATTTAGTACACAGTGTGTAGATGTGCATATTACCAAGAAATTCCGATTCCTTTATTTTTCTGGGAATTTTGGCACTTCAACTTAGATTTTTGGCCATATCTTGAATATAGAGATTAACAGTTTGTTATTGCAACTCCTCTTAAACCGCTGTACAGAATTTGGTAAAACTTTGCAGATATTTAGTACGTAGATGTGCAAATTACCAGGAAATTCCGATTCCATTATTTTTGCCTTAAGAGTTTTGCCTGTTATTGAAGAAACTTTCCAGCTAGGTAATAAGGAAATCCACTGGAATCAGCTTTTGTAATGAAATTTTATGTGAAATGTTTTATGACCTTAAAAGAACCCTATTGATTTTGAGATCAAAATATTAATGATTTAACACACACACAAAATCTTGGATAGTTCTCAAACCACCCCCCCCCCCCAAATTCATATGACTACATAATAATTTTGTTTCCATCAATTATTTAAATGTGTAAATTATCATGTGTTGGACATGGACTTACACTCATTAACAAATCGAAATCACTGAGGAATTTAAATAACAGTTTGTCAGCATAACTCCTGCACTGAATTTCCTGAAACTTTAGGTATTTCAGACATAATGTATAGATTTGTATATTACCAAGAAATTTTGATTCCATTATTTATCTAGAAACTTCAGCCGAATTAAATTTGTAACATACAAAGATTTGAATGTCCTTATATGCAAGAAGTTTTGATGTGATGATTTTTTGCAAGTAATGCCCCTTTTTGAATTATTATACTGTGTATTTAAAATGCACTGTGCCATTCATTACGTGTTGCATTGTTGAGTTTTGGGGGAGCGTGGGGTATGTGAGCTTGCTCACTTTTTCTTTCATTTACATCTGCTAGTATGATACTACTTCTGGTAGTATTGATCTAGTTATGCCCCTGTAATCAAAGATTGGGGGGTATATAGTTTTTGCCCTGTCCGTCCGTCTGTCTGTCAGTTTATCTGTTTGTTCGCAAAAACTTTAACATTGTTCATAACTTTTGATTGGTTGGAGCTATGACTTATATTTTACATGTGTATTCCTTGTGACAAGACTTTTCTTTGGGTACCATCATATTTGACCTTTTGACCTTGACCTTGGAGTTTTACCCAGTTTTGCAAAACTTAAACCAACTTTAACCTTGGCCATAACTTTTGAACAATTGGAGCTAGGGCTCTCATACTTCACATTGTGACAAGACCTTCCTTTGGATACTAACAACTTTGACCTTATGACCTTGACCTTGAAGTTTGAGCTACTTTTTGAAAAACTTTAACCTTGGCCATAACTTTTGAACGGTTGGTGCTAAGGCTTTCATATTTCATACATGTATGTGTATTTCTTGTGACAAGGCCTTTCCTTTGGCACCATTAATTTTGACCATTTGACTTTGACCTTGATGTTTGACTTACTTTTGAAAAACTTTAACCTTTTCCATATCTATTCAATGGTTGCTGCTAGGGCTTTCATATTTCACAGGTAAAGACAAGACCTTACTTTGGGTACCAACATATTTGATTTGCATTTGAGAAAGTTTAACCTTTACTATAAGTTGCCATACGGGGGCATCAGTGTTTCACAAACACATCTTGTTTTGAAGTAGTATCAGGATAAGGATATTAAATAGCATTACTATAGCATTTAATCAGCAAGCAAAGGAAGCAACAATGGTTATAATGTTTTTGGAGCAGCCCCATTCTAACAAAGCTGTAAGCAAAATGTGGACCTAACTTACATTAGTGATCTCCAGGAATGTATACTGCTAGATTTGCTTTGGATGCTGCAAATAACTTATATTTTTAGCTCACCTCTACAAAGTCCAGAGTTAAAATGTTTGGAGCAGATCTATTCCCAAGTATCTGTTAGTCTTTATATGGTGACTAAACTGTCATGGTTGATGCATTTAGTGATACAAACTATCATACTTGCCTCAGATGCTGAATCTGACCTACATTATGGATGAATGACCAGGTTAAAGTTTTGGGAAAAAGTTCATTCCCAAATAACTTTGAGCCATATGATGATAAAATTGCATCCAAGATTCATCTATGATTGCACACTGCCAAACTTGCTTCAGATGCTGCATCTGACATACATTTTCTGGATGACTGACCAGGATACAGTTAGGTTTAGGAACGGATCCATTCTCAAGTAACTATAATCGCTTATAATGGTGACCAAATTGTGTGGATGATGCATCTAGGAATGCACACTAACAGAACATTGTTTTCCTGTGAGACATTGCTTTACTACTAGATAACTTTGTCAAGCTCAGCTTTGCACTCTTTACCTATATTTGGGTTGAGTGACCAGTGAATGCTTCAAGAGCAGATCCATTTTCTATAGACTGTAAGCTCTACCTGGACCAAACTTGTATGAGTAATACATTGGAGGATTGCTTACTATCCAACAAGCTTAAGGTGCTGCATCTTTCTTATATTTACTGAATTAAAGTTTCTAAATATTGTTCATTTCCAAGTCAATATAAGCCATACCTTGACTTAACTTGCATGGATAAAACATCATTCTAAGGACTAGGTACTGTATTTGACATATATTTTCTGGATAAGTGTCTAGTTGAAGGAGAACAAAAAATGTACTGTCTTAGAATTTGATAAACATACTGAAAGCTCAAGTGAGCTTTTCCAATCACATTTTGGCTGGCATCAATCTCTCTGTCTATAAGCTGTCGGTCTGTCCAACTGTAAATTTTTCACATTTATGATTTCTAAAGAATCACTGGGCCAATTACAACCAAACTTGCCACAATATATTCTTAGGTGAAGATTCAAGTTTCTTCAAAAGAAGAGCCATGTCCTTTTGAAGGGGGAGAAAACAAAGAAAAATAGGGAGGGTGTGTTCTTCTCAAGAATCACAGGGCCAGAAAAGAATGTGAAAGTTTCCTGATATAGTGTAGATTCAAGTTTATTCAAATCATAGCTGTAGGGTGGGACCACAATAGAAGATCAAGTTTTACATTGGAATACATGTATATAGGGGGAAAATCTTTTAAAACTTCTTAAATAGAACAGCTGGGCCTTGATTAGTGATATTAATATGAAAGCATTCTTAGGTGGTGAAGACTTTATTTTGTTCAAAGCATGACTGTCGGGGTTGGGGCACTGAAGAACAGCAGAGTCAAGGTGACTCAGGTTAGTAGTTGCTATGATGAACCATATTACCCCCTCCCCTCTCCCCCCTTTTGTATTTTGCCATTTATAAATAAAAGTATATTGCAGGTCTCATTATAGTATAAATTCAGAAAATTGATAATTTATTATTGATAAGAAATCCTAATACATGGATGTACATATTACCGGGTACTATTGGTAATAAAGGACTCCCTGCAATAATTGATTGCTAAATCTGACATATACAGGTAGTGGGACAGTTGTGTGGTAATTAGGTCCAGACAGCATACCATTAGACATTACAGAGTCTGGTCTATAGAATAGTTCATCCCTTGTTCAGCTAGAGTTCCCTGATAAAGAGAGTGCATTAATCAATGGAGTTTGAGCCTATTGTGGAATGTCACTGTGTGTGCGGCCTGTATAGTATTGATTTCACTCTCAGAAGGTGTAAGGACGAGCAGTCTGTTGCACATGGCTAATGTCAGATGCCACAAAGTCCATTCCTATGGTCACTTTTAGAAGAGCTTCATGTTTTGTGGAACTTCATGTTTTGTGCATTTATTTTTTTGAGGTATTGTTCTTAATCAATTAATATTCATTCAGTTTTTAGATGTATAATGAATGGATGGATTAGCTTCTGTATTCCTGGAGAGGTAGGAAGGAGTTTTTAACATTATTTGGACTGCAGTGCCATGCAGTTTTAATAAACATATATGGCAGCTATGAAGAAATCAGTTGTAATGTTTGTGTTTATATTGCATATGACTTGATTTTTCTCACAGAGTGTTTAAATTGATTGATTTTTATTTGGGTATTGGGAAATACTGTAATGTGACCTATTATTACAGATCAAGTTCAGGCTCCTAACCTGTATGGTTAATGGAAATTTGAATTAACAAAGTGCTATTCATATATTTTATTTGGCAATTACTAGTATACTATATACATATGTAGTGTATCCAGCATGCCTTAAATCAGTCATGCACAGTTGGCTTTTGTTTTGAAGGTTAATTCTTAAGATTGTAGTGTTGTACACAATGAAGTATGTCAGTTGATATTGCAGGATTATCTATAGTGCACTGAAAGAGAATGATGTCAGTCATTTTTCTTTGATTTCATACAACTGGAAATTTCTGTTGCATTCTTTTGTGTCTGTCCCATGGACTGGATTGTTGTATGTGTCCCACAAACTACATGCTGTGTTGTATTTGTCAAATGAACCGAATCTATCGTATGTGTCACTGGAGTGTTGTATCACACAGACTGGATTTGTTGTATCACACAGACTGGATTTGTTGTGTCGTATGAACTGCATCCTGCTGTATGTGTCACATGGACTGGATTTGTTGTATCTGTGTCACGGACTGGACTTGTTGTGTTGCATCTGTCACATGAACCAGATTTGTTGTATCTGTCACACAAGCTGAATTTTGAATTTTATGAAAAATATTAATGATCTCGCAAGTTCCTAAAAGTCTGCCAAATATGAAGTCCCTTAACTTCTGTGGTTCAAAAGTTATTAGAAAAGTTAATGTTCTTGATAGAAATACAGAATGACAGATTTTCAGACAGGATAAAAACAAAATGCCCCCTGATCATCGATCTCTGGGCATAACAATTATACACTTCTCTCATGATGATGAAGGGTAATACTTTGAAGTATGCATATGAGAACCCAAAGTATTTCAAAAAAATTCTTATTAAAATACAAAGTGTTTATGTTTTTTTAAACAAAGTTCAGTGTATATTGCTCATTATTTATAGGTAAGCATATCTTGTTAGTATATGAATGGTTTATCAATGAATTACAACTGTTCTATCATTTGATTATTCTAACTAAGGTAGGAAAAAAATATGGTGAACTAGTAGTATAAAAGAAATATTTAATATTTACTATTTATTTCACTAAATTAGATTTATTTGTATAGGGTATTAAGGTTCTGGAGTATTTTAATACAATGAAGTAGTGACTTGGTGCCCTGACCACAGGTTTATTATTATATTTTAGATGAGAGTGTGAAGACCTAGTGAAGATGTCAGAGCCAGATCTCACGTGTGATACATTCATGGTCAAGAACCATACCCAAATTGACTTCACTAATGGGGAATACGGAGGCATACCCTTTAATTTAATCATCAATTCTGTTGGATGGTTGGTAAGTTCATATGAATATTTGTTTAATACAAAGTATTATAAATTTTAGTGATCGTGATGTACATGTACTATGCTGTCCAAGTTCTTCAAATTGATCGAACATTGTGTTTTACTAGTTTGTAGTTGTATGCCTTTTACTTGTTTTAAATTTGATTATTGAAGATGATGCCAAAAGAAAGAAAAGGAAAAAAAACCTCAATGCAAAATATTGTATACTTGATCTCATGCACCAAACACAATATTTCTTATGACAGTACTTTGTATTTTATGTTTATTTATATAGCTACTCATCTTGTTGTTCACGGTATTGAGGAAGGTGGCCTGGGACTATGGAAGAATTGCTCTTGTCAGCAGAACAGAGGAAAAGTAGGTGCACTAAAAGCAGACTTCACTGTAACTCTGCCAGATAGTGTGTATAACGTAAGGTTTAGGGATTTAATCTCTTTTTTTTTTTATGAAGTTCATGCTTTGATTAATTCAGAGTAAATTAAATTGAAAGTTTCAGTAACCCGACTCTATAGCTGTTATATTAGATATCCCAGTGTGGTATTTATTCCTGAACATGCCTTGGATAAACTATTTAGATTATTGACAATAAACTGGTAATGAAATTTAAGTCATTAGGTTTATGTAAAGAATTTTACATTTAAGTGGGGAAAAATGAAATGGATTCACTGATTGACTAAATTGGTTTATCCATTAAACACTTCACATAACCATATAAGAAACTGAAGTTTGGGGAAAAAATGAAATGGATTCACTGATTGACTGTATGAGTCTTTCAATTAAACACTCATTTCATAACCAGATTAGAAATTAAAGTTAGGAAAAAGATTCTAAAATGGTTTAGCCATTCGGAAATTACAGTACTGTACATATTATTTTTCCCATTTGTAACCCATGTCAGGGTCCCCAGTGGCCAAGGACAGTGTCCAATATGGGCCAGGGTAGCAAAGCCCCCATAAACTCAACAGACATGAGAGTCAGCAATTGGAGATTATATTGATTAATGGTATTGAAAACTACATCTCAAATATGTTTTGGTTGTTTTAAAGGGGGCATATGCCTGGAGCTCCCTCGCCTGAACCTGCGTCTGCCAACTATATGTGATAAGACATATTAAAGTGGTTAATGTACCTGAAATTTTGTACCCTTTGTAATAAATATTTAGGCAGCCTCTAATTATAATCTTTAATAGATTATTGATTTTTGTGGGCACTTTTTTGGTCCATTGGAGTGTCAGGGGAGACAGCTTGTTTATGGACCAGGAATGGTATCTCTATAAATAAAATGCTAGCTGATATTTTCTGGAGTATATCTGTATCATTACACAAGGAGTGTCTAGAGGGATAGATGTTCTAAAAACAGCAAAAACATCAATAAAAATAAAACGCTAGCTGTCTTATAGATCTTTACTGATCACCTCCCAGGGGCTTTTACTGAGTTTTGCTACTCTATACATCTGCTTCTTTAATGCTTTTATAATTGTAATGGTTATAACATGAAAATCATGATACTGCTGTTCTTATAATATTGAATAAAGTTTCTAATTAATTGAAGTTAAATCATAACAAACTGACTTTGATTAATATGAATATACATCAATTACTTGCAGAATTTTTCTCACAAAGCAATGAAGATATAATAAAGATAGCTTTCACAAGAGTATAATATATATGTGAATATCTGTGCATAAAATTTTTCTTCATTTCTCTCTTTTTTCAGTGAAAATTTGACAAGCAACAGCCAATACAATGTGTAATAACCACTGCTTTCTTCCCCTGACTATACGCTAACCCTTCATACCTCTTGTTCCAATATTTATTTACTAAATGCTAACTGCTAGACTCATGGTGCTTGACCTTTAATCAGAGCTCTTAATATGCTGCACTCAATAGCCAATAAGCAGAGTTCATATTCAATTCTTATGTAGACTTCATTTTTATATATAGTGCAACCAAAATAAAATACTATGTACAAACTATTGTATTAGTACAAGATGTGGGCATTTCTTAAACTGCTTAGAAGGCATTATTTCCATCATGCATGGAGGTTATCCTTTAGTGGGTTAAATTTATCTTCTCTCCGGTTTAACAATGGAAAACTCTATTGAGTCTAAAAACATATTTCACATCTCTGTACTCTTGCATAAACTGTATGCATTATCACAGAATATTTAAACCTTTTAAAAATTAAAACAAAAAAATTTGCTATCCGTTTTTTTCTTGTTGTCATATGACGTCCATCATGCATGGATGAAACTTTTGAACATTTTCAGCTTTTTCTCTGGAACAGTTGAACCAATTTCAACCGAGTTAGGTATAAAGCATCTATGAATGAAGAGAAACAAAAAGTTTGAATTTCATAGTTTCTGCCTCCCTGGGCCCTAAGAGGTGTGGCCAAAAGCATCCAAAATTAGTGCAATCTTAAGAAATCTTATTTATTCCTGGACATCAGACAGCTGAACTGTTGGTATGATTATAATGAGCATGACCTGAAACTCATAACCTGTTTGAATCCCAAGGAAGAGCTGAATTGATTATATATTGAAAAAGAATTTTTATCTTAGAAAATTTTTACTCCTGGACATCTTGCTTGCAAAGTTTTTGCATAATTACAGTGAATACTCAACCCTTTTCCAATATTGAGCTTTCACTGTTAACACAATATAATGTCATGTAAAATGTGCATCCTCTATTCTTTATTAGATTAGGGAAAAAAAAGAATGCTGATCTTCTTTTTTTTCAGTGTAATCAAGCATAATCAAGTTAAAAATTTCATGAGGATACTTCACATGATTTTGAGATTTTCTCTTTACTGATCTTTTCAAGAACAGCAGGGCCACAATGTAAATCATTATTATACAAGCGTCCCCAGATTAGGCAGATAGGCAGATTTTTTTTTTTTTTGGCTGAATTTAGTTTTCCAATCAGTTAACAATCATGCTTATTTAAGCATTTTTATGAGAAAGTTGACAATAAAATCAATAATGTTTAATTAGATTTATTAATTGAGCCTTTTCAATATTTGTTCTACCTGTATAAAATTACCAAAATTCAGTTCACTGAATTATATGCATTACAAATTAGGAATGGTTAAGGTGACCCAGTATGGTATATCTTCAGGAGGACATTGAAATTCTCATTGTAGATTCTTAAATATACACAAGGAATTTATTGTCACATAAATTTGTGAGAAGCACCACTCTCCAAAGAAACTAACTCACTCTTATTTATTTATTTTTGCTGAAATACATGTAAAACCTATTCATCAACAGTCTACTCACAAATTTATATTCTGGCGATTTCACGTCTATGGATCATTTTGCTATATTAAGTACTGCTTGCGTAAACTAAGGAATCTATAGCATTGGTCAATTTAATCAAACTTTAATTCCTCTATAAATTTTTCAGATATTTAGTGTAGAAAAGAGCTAAAATTGGGGATTTTATTTCATTCTTATCATTCACATCAAGTTCTGTGATTAAACCTACAAAACATATGTTTACTTTAAAAGGAGTGCATGCAACATAAGGTCTTGTTTTAAAAATCTTTTCTACTCTGAATCTTCTAGTAACAAGATTCATGGATTAAAAACAGAGAGCACTAAATACTAGATACTCAGGTGACCAACAAAGCCCATGGGCCTCTAATTTCACTTATACTGCACTTTATCACTCTTAGATGGACTAACTGATTCTGGAGTCTTAAGAATTTGTGTAAGATTTTGTTAAATGTCAGTACATTGAACCACGCAATCATCTAGCTGGGAGATTAAGTCTTTGGTCTGGCTACTATGAATATTAAATAATCGTGTATTGATTTTGGTGACAAATTCAAGGCACATTCTTGCCTCTTTTATTTTTTTACCCGCTGTCTGCAGACAGATATTAGAATTGGCATTTTGTAGGGATTTATGATAATAATATGGTTGGTACATTTTACTGTAGTAGCATGCATTCATTGCCATATATCATAGCCTGACTATACCAAACATGGGAAAATGGTCTTTGGTTTCATTTCTTTGTCATCAAGTATAAATTCATTATTTACATTTCAGAGCTGCATTGTCAAGTATTATATTTATTAAATTTCCTCTTGAACATATATCACTGCATATGCATATTAAAAAGTCGTATGAAAGAAAAAAAAACAAAAAATACAAATTGCTTAGATAAAATTGCAGAGTTTCATGGAAAGAAAGTTAAACATTAATAATTGAGTAATTTTATTCTTTTATTTTTAAAAATCCTTGTAGATGGAGAGATATTGGATGGTAAGAGAACTTTCTGGATAGTGCTTGTCTGAACAATAAATGTGAGATTGGTCTATTATTTTAGGTGGACCTCCCTGTTTTATGGTGACCATGACGATGATGACAAAAACAAAATCCAGGGGTCAGTGGAGTCCTTGGATGCTCACTTACATAAACATGACAGTGTATGTATCTAGCAGGTCCTTAATCATCTGTATAGGGTGTTTACTGTGGGAAAAAATCAAATCACTTTATAAGAATAATTGTGATGAACAAAGTTAATGTAAGCCCTGAGAAATGGAGTGCTGGAATTGCATCTGAATATGTTTTTGGTAATCTTTGTAATTTTTGCAGAAAAACAAACCCCAATGTAAAATGATGCTTAGAAATGGTATTATGGCATAACATTGTATATAAATTGATATTTACATTACATATGTATTTTGCATATAAAGTGTGTGGAAATCTATGGCATTCAAAACACCATAACACGGAAAGGGGGTTAAAAGGTTAAAGCATGCGTTTTATTTTGACGTCACAATCGTTGATCGCCAAGGAAGTACAACGTCATAAGCAAAAATCAAAAATCACGCTCACATTGACCCGAAGCTGTTACATTGGCTCTTCCATTTACTGTAGCTTACACAAAGGATAATACGTGGGTTTTGAAATATAAATCACATCTGCAGTCAAGGCAGAGAGTTAAAAAATGTAAATATAAGTAATGAATCATTATTTTTTGAAAGACATAGTCTCATAACACGCTGACGCACGTTACTCAATTTGTTTGCACACACCATTGCAGTTATGAGACTATATCATTCAAAAAATAATGATTCATTGCTTAATTGTTTTCACAAAAATCATACCATCAGGAATGGTTTCAGAGATGAAAATCACATATCTCTTAAAGATATTTTCACAGTTACAGTATTTAACAGTTTGAATAAACAAGACATTTGTAATAGGTTTGCTGAGATGTGATTCCATAACATACAGTCTTTAGTATTTCTCATGGGGAACTGTGAAGTGACATCACAGAATAAAGTGGAAGACCTGATGTTGTATGCTTGCATCAGCAACATATCAAATGATTGTTTTAAGCTTTTATTATTTCTTGGTAATTACTAGAGGTGTTGAGTTGCTAATTTCAAATCAAGTAGCCTTGTTAAGAGTGAATTAAGCAAACCATCTGTTGAAGGTAATGAATCAATAACATGAAATCATTGTCAGAAATATTGACCAAGATAACAATAAATCACCATTATCACATGAAAAGACAATCACCAATGTGCTTTATGCCTGCATTATCTCTAACTGGTAATGTAATTCTTGTTGTTTTATGATTTCAGAATATGTGCTCCTGGATCCCAGCATATTTCAGAGTCAAGTAAGTTATCTGACAATCTGAAGGAAAAATATACACAAAACAATTGACATGTACTTGTCAGACATAGTCTCTAATACAAATGATTACATTCCTTATAGTAAAATCAATCATACTGGCACAGGCTTGTTCGGGGATATTTATTTGGGAGGGATGAAATTTTCATATCCCCATCTACATGTAAAAATCTATTAAGATGGCATCGCACCTCTTTACCAAACCCAAACTTGAAGACTTAATTACCCCAAAGCCTGTTGCCTTCTTACCAACCCCTGAATATGTATGGACATGGACCCATAAATTAATAAGGTAATGTGTAATATGTATATATTTCCATTTCTAATTGTTTTCTCTGTGATGACTCTTTGAAAGTTAGGCAGTTAAGTTGATTTCTTGATAATTCAACTGGAATGTTAATTTCGCCAGGTGAAAGGTCAGGAGCCTTATATGCATGTCAATCTCATGTGGTTGTGTTTGTGTCTGACGTCAGTGGGCGGGGACTATTGAAATTAACGTGGAGGCCTCATGTATTTTAAATCTATTAGACAGCATTTTAAATATAAGGAATCACTGTTTAGTTTGTTGGGCATGCCAGGCTCATCAACGATAGTTGGAAATGTGGGATAATTTATGCAAATTATCCCATGTTTCCAACTATCGTTGATATGCCCTGGCATACCCAACAAACTAGAGTCACAGTGATTCCTTAAGTAAGTCCAGTATGAAGTTTAAATCTATGATGTTTCTGAATTCATGTAAATGATTCAAAGGATACAGACCATAATGGCTAGAATATGATACCGATTGAGCCCAAAATCATATTTGTTTTACAGAGATTCAGACATCTTGAAGAAAAGTGGGCAGGATGCCATTCAGTATTTGTCCTTCCAGCGATACCTGATTATTTACACCACCATAGTGATGGTGCTCTCTGTTGTCATCATTGTCCCGGTCAACTTCTCTGGAAACAACAGTAAGTTCTGGTAAAAATCAGGTGGTAAGTGGAAGGATCAGGTATTCTTAACTCTGAACAAAATTATTCACATATTTGTGTCGTATTTCTACCTATCCTTTGGTACAAAAGACATGTATTGATTGAATTAATAAAATAACATCTTTTTTACACAATGTTGAAAATACTTACCACAGAAAAGTTTGGAAATATTAAGAATATTAATCTTTGTTTTGTAGTTGGAAATGAAACAGATTTTGGGCATACAACCATTGGGAATTTGGACCCAGAGTAAGTAAAAGGCCTTGAGAAGGAGATTATCTTTGTACTGTGTTTAGTGAGTAAAATTAGTAGACCTGCAAAATATTTCTTGAATAAAATAAATATTAAGTATTTAGTTAAACTAACTATTGTTTATAGTGTTTCCTTTAAATTAAAATAAGTTTTAGCTCTACTTGTCAGAGACCAGAAGAGCTTAATAAGAGATAGTAAGGCATCCATTGTCCATTCATCTGTTAGTCTTTCCATCTGTCTGTCTGTGAACAATTTTTCAAAATGCTACTCCTTTGACAGTTTTTGTCCGATTTCAGTATAACTTAATATACAAGTAGACTACACTGAGATACATAATTCTATTAATTGGTGTTCAGTTTCAATGAACTGCATTGCCATGGTTACTAAAAAAAGAAATTTCTATAAATTTCTTTCAAAATGCTATTCCTTCTACAGTTTTGGTTTGATTTCAATAAAACTTGATACACATGTAGACTGTACTAAGATGCATAATTCTGTATAGGGCTAAGAAAAAACAGTAGAGCTACATATGTCAGAGAATTCTGGTTTTAAAGGCAAATATAATTTGATCCTAATTTCTTCTATTGTTTACAGTTCTCCCTTGCTATGGGTCCACGCTGTCCTAGCTGTGGCCTTCCTGATTTTATTGGTCGGTCTGATGCGACATTTCCGAGTGAACCTTCAATATCAGGAAGATGAACAGGTGTCAAGGACGCTGATGATCTCAGGGATTCCTACAAACCAGTGTTACAAAAACCAGATCACTCAGCATTTTGAGTAAGTATGCTTCTGCTGTGGACCTGTCAATTTTTATCATGCAGAGGAAACTAGGTGATCTGCTATTCAATGAAACTGGTGTCATTTGAAATATTCTACTGCTAGTTGCATTGTGCATCGAAACTCATCTCAGTTAAAAATGCAGACACTTTTTTACCATATTTAGCATTTTGTAGTCTTTGAAATTAGGAAACTAAACAAAATAAAAAGTATACATGGATCTGATAATATGTGAAAGATAGTGTGTCGTCACAGAGTTAGTGTGTGGTTTTACATGATAATGAGTTATCTGCCTTTTCAGGGAAGCATATCCAGAGGCAAGCGTGGTTGATGTTCAGTTTGCATACAACATCGCAGAACTAGTGAAACTGGATGAAAATAGGTAAGAATTTAGAACATGCATGTAGAACACACCTAAGATTTTTCCTGAATCTTTAATAATCATTTACTTTAATTTTTAGGAGGGTAGCAGAGGAGGCTTTAAAAAATTCTAAGATTGAATATGAGAAAACGGGAATTCGTCCCACTATGACGCCAGTCACATGTGGACAATGTTGCTGCTGCTGTGCTGCCTGTGGGTGCAAAGAGGTCAGGGATGCTTTGATTGGGTCTGATGTCATAAGTTATTAGATAAAAATGAAGATTTTATTTAAAGCAAAGTCCTGCGAACCACCGAACTTACTTTGGTATATCCTTTATTCGTTATATATCCCATGCAACTAGTTATTTGTAACAAATTCACAATATACATGTTTTCAAAACTTACCTTTGTGGACCAAAGTTTTCAGATGAAGAACTGACCTTGTTTCTATTTTTAGGTTGATGCCATTGAGCATTACGAGTCAGTGGCCAAAAAATACCGGGAGAAGTGTGAGAAAGAGAAAGTGACCGCGTATCAGGACCCAGCAGGAATAGCCTTTGTCACCTTCTACACTGACCTTATGGCTGCAAGGTCACAGTATTACAATGTAGTAAAGGACTCATGCTCAGATTATTCTCAGATTTGGCAATCTTTGACCTCTTTTGATGATTTCTAATTAGCAGACTTAGTTTCTGAAAGAACAAATAAGTAACTGTTCATGTAATTTGAAAAGCATTAATAGCTATGATTAATTAAATCTGCCAATCATTTCCTTTTTAGCAGATTTTGTTGATTGTTATAAAATTACCTAAAAACAGACATGCAAAACTTGGATAGAGAAAGCCAGGATAAATCTATATAACAATTAACCTTATATTTAGCCTCTGTTTTATGACTTAAAATATTGTTGATGAATTTTTCTGATAATATTTTGTTTCAGGGTGAGGAGTGATTTTGTTGATGTATATTTCTGATGATATTTTGTTTCAGGGTGAGGAGTGATTTTGAGGATACATGTAAAGGCAGCAGTAACCCTCAGAACTCCTCTCTCAATCAAAAGTTGGGGGTATGGAACTGGAGTGTGCACTATGCCCCCTCCCCAGAAAATATTTACTGGTAATCAAATTGAATACAAGTCTTGCTAAGTAGCTATATAAGTTCAGTTTATCCATTTTAAAAGTGAAAATATGGTTAAAACTTTATAAACCATAGATAAGTTATTTGAATCACTTTTAAAATCTGATAAATAAAATCATTGTAGGGAAAACATTTCCAAGTCCAAATGGAAGTGGTGGATGACAGCGATCATTGTCAATGTCATCCTAGTCGTCATTCTCTTCTTCTTCACTACACCTCTAATCATCATCAACACCCTCAATCAACTGGAGTATCTAAAACCTTTAGAAGAACATGTAAGTAACACAGATATTTACCAGAACATGTAAGTAACACAAATTTTTATCAGAACATGTAAGTAATACAAATATTTACCAGAAAATGTAAGTACTACAGATGTCAGTACCTAAAGCCTTTAGAAGAACATGTAAGTACTACAAATATTTACATGAACACGTAAGCAGCTTAAGCCTTTAGAAGAACTTGTAAGTATCTCAAATCTTTACAAGAACATGTCTGTCCATCAAATCTTTACAAGAACATGTCAGTCCCTCAATTCTTTACGTCAAGAACATGTCAGTGCCTCAAATCTTAAAAAGAGTCAGTGCCTCAGATCTTAAAAAGAACATGTCATTTCTTTAAACCAGTAAGTAAATTAAGCCTATAGGAATACATTTAGATACTGGAAAACTTAACAAGAATGTGCAAGTACTTCAACCCGTTTGAGAGACATGTACTTGTAAGTACCTTAAATGTTTAGAAGAGCATATAATTACCTTACACCTTTTCATGAATGTACATTTCAGTAACTCAGATCTTTTTAGGGCACCTTGAATGTAAAGGAACATATGGATATACATACCTCAAGCCCATAGATAAATTGTGTTGAGTACAATAACAGTACACTAGTTAGTAAGGGTCAGTAATTCTGGTGTCTTATTTATACTGATGAAAATATCCATGTGATAAAACTGTTATAGGGGAATCATTTCCATCCAAGGACTTTTGTTTCTATGGTTTGTAAATAATTACACGTGTATTCACTTATTTTGATATGCAAACATTCGTTAGTCAAGTGGATTCAAGTTTTTTTTTTCAAATCTTGGGCCCTGGAGTTAGGGTGGAGCTAAAATGGGGAATCAAATTTTACATAATGATTAAATATACAGGTATATAGGTAATGGATCTTCAAAAATCTTCTCTAGAACAGAAAAGCCTTGTTTTCATGGTTTAAATATTTAAATTCCCAATGTTGAGTGAATTCAATGGTGGTTAAGTCATGACCCATTGTGGCTAAGGTGTGACAATAATATGGGGTCAGAATTTTACATGAAAATATAAGGAAAAATTATTTTAAATCACCTGAAAAACAGTACTGCCTATTTGACTCAGGTAAGCATTTTGGCCAATGGGCCTCTTATATCTTAAACTTTTTGAAGCTGAATGCAAGCTGTCTATCAATTAAATGTTGTAATAATAGTATTTTTTATTGACTTGAGTTCTGTATTTTCATTTCAGATGAGTAAAATTGTAAGCTTTTTGTTATTTCAAGCTTTATTTGTTTATGTTTCTTGAAAGTTTGACCAATAAAATCTTTGTAAAGCTTTTCACTTGTAAGTACAAGTTTATGGTATTGGAATGCATGCTTTCTAATGATACTACATAATACAATGCTTCGGAGGTGTAATGTTTGTTCAAATCATTATTTAATATAAATACTTTTTTGTACCAGAAAAATAGGTATGAAATAATACTCTTACTTATCAAACATTAATTATTCTTTTTTTCTTATTTTTTTTTTGCTGTTCATATTTGGAATGATTTGTAAGGAAACATGATCTGTATTGAAGATGTTCAAATATAGACATGTATATAACATTTATATAGGGAAATCAAACTTTCCTAACATCTATACAGTCATGCAGATTTTGCACCACATATGTATTGCATAAATTTTTCAGCTTTTAGCCTCATCTTTAAATTCCCAGCTAGAGTTGCATGTATAATCAGTAGAATTATGTTATCAAATTATGAACACTACATTTACTCTTGCATATATAAGTCCAGTCTCTCTCACCATGTGCATTTATTATGTATATTGTATGATGGATAATAAATACAGTCAAACCTTGTTATCTCGAACATGATTGGACCGAGGAAAAACTTTGGGATATCAGAGGACTCAAGATATCAAGGGTAAAATACTTAAGAAATGAGTATTGGGACTTCCAAATCACTTTGACATATTCATGGTTTTCGAGATATCAATGTTCAAGATACCAAAGTTTAACTGTACTTTGCAAAAGGTTTTGTTTTGGATATATTCTTATGTTATAGTATAATAAAATAAATTTAAAATTTCTTTAAAAAATAGACAATTCTGTTACTACCTGAGGATGCCTTCACAGAAAATTCTAGCTGCTCAAATAACCCATCATGCAGTGTACTACCAAAATCTTTTTGAAATCTGTGAACTTTTATCATTGTTTTTTTTTTACTTTGGATTTTAGAGTCCGCTGTTGATTCAGTTCTTGCCCACCTTGTTGCTGTGGACGTTCTCAGCGTTACTGCCCAATGTGGTATACTACTCAGACTCAACATTTATAGGACACTGGACAAGGTAACATAATCATTTGCACTCATGTAAAGGCACATTTATTTTGTGCAGTAGTATAAGGCGATAGTGGGATAAAAATCTGCTTTGTAAGGGAAAAAAACTAAGTAATCTACTTGAGTATTCCTTTTTGTTGCAGAACTGCTGAGCACCATGCTATAATGGTCAAATCCTTTATATTCCTGATTCTTATGGTTCTCATTCTGCCCTCATTAGGACTAACGAGGTAAAATCAACGATAATTACTCATCATTGAATGGAACAAAACTACTCGATTTGATTGAATTTTTAAGCACAACAGTACTGTTGAATTTTGAGTTTTCACTAAATTGAAAGAAAAGATAAATTTTATAACTTTAAAAAATCTTGTTATCTTGGAGTTGATGGGGCTGAAGAAAAAAAATGAGGAATTGAGATTTTAAGATTAGAACTCATAAAGGAAAAGTGGTTGGGACTTCTGACTCTCTTCAAAATATCTGTAGTATCTAAATACTAAAGTTCAAGATTCATATATGTAAAGGGTAATTAAAACGTTTGATTATTTTATGTTGCAGTACCAAGGCCTTGATTCAGTGGTTTGTCCTGGATAGAGACTCAAATTTTCGTTGGAAGTAAGTTTGAAGAGAGAGAAGAAAACTTATACTATGAAATGAATGATTATTGCTGAATTCTTTTACTTATCTGACAGCTTCAGCTCTTAGGTCTTTGTCTTTGCAGATGTATATTTTTAGCAGGACATGGGGCTTTTTTTGTTAACTATGTGATAACCGCAGCTTTTATTGGGACAGCTTTAGAATTAATTCGATTTTCTGAGCTCTTCATGTATGGCCTCAAGTTGTTACTGGCTCACTCCGCCGCTGAGAAAACAGCAGTCAGAAAGGTAGGAACTTCTCTTTGATTAAAAAATTGTGAGCTTCCTATTAAAAAAAAATGCTCTGCTTGGTATTCCCTTAGCACTGTCTGTGTCAAGCAAGATTTCAAAGGGAACATTTGGTCATACTTAGCAATGGTATTTAACAGCCCAATGTGCCAAGTGAAAAGAGTTTCAAGAGATATTCCCATGAATCTCCCATGAAACTCATGAAAAAAATGTTGATGACCCATGTGCTCTTTTCACATGAATTTCCTGTGAAGAAATTTGAATGAAATTTACATTAGGTGTACTAGAGGTGTATTAGAGGTGTACAATTTTTGTCCCATTCTTAAGGAATGTACAACTCACATTTCTTCAGTACCACTGAAACTGCGTAATAACACAGAGCATTATTTTGAGTAATAATAAAAAGGTTACATTTCAATGAATGCTTATCCACTTTTAGTCTGTGCTATGGGAGTTCCAGTATGGTATACAGTATGCCTGGATGTTGTGTGTGTTTGCTGTCCTTATGGCCTACAGTCTTTTATGTCCACTGGTGGTTCCTTTTGGCAAGTCCTGTTTTACTCTTAATTTAAAATTTAAGACTAATATATTTAATGAACAGGTTTTGTCTGACGTAAACTTGAATCCATCAAATATTCCATGTAACAGCAATAAAGGTGACACTTGAAGTACATGATCCAATAAATCAATGAAGGATATTTTCACCCCTTCTTTGTTGTGCCCTAAAATATGGAATTCTTTGTTATATTAGGTTGGGTGTACATGATTCTAAAGCATGCTGTAGATAGGTATAATATCTACTTTGCCTACAAGCCATCAAAGATAAACAAGAACATTCATCATACGGCCATCAACTTTGTCATCATTGCCACCATTCTTCTACAGTTCAATGTTGTCTTCTTCACTGCTCTCAGATCAGGTAATTATTGCCTTACAGAGGGTTTAAAAAAATAAGAATTATTTAAATCTGCGGAGGTCAGTTTTTGTGGTTTGCTGAATTTTACTAATGTGTGGAAAGTGTGTTTTTGTTATGATATTACTAAAAAAAAGTGTTTTGATGAGATTGCATTGTATTGCAGATATAGTTTATGGTAAGTCTTGCAATGGAATGCCGTAAACAATTATTAAAATTGGCAATATTTGGCGGGGCATTACTTTTACATTATTTGCATACTCACTGTACTGGTGAACTGTTTCATTGCTTATTAATTATGGCATTCTTGTAAATTGCTTATGAATTATAACATAGCATTCTCAAGGGAAGCACATTTTAAAAGCGAGGGAAGAACAGGGCTATGGGTCAAGGCCATTGTTTCTTTACTTTTTAGGTCAACTGAGCTAAAGGCTCAACTGGGCTTTCCTGATCAAAGTTTGTCATTTGTCTGTCTGTTGTCTGTCATCTGTTAAACTTTTCACATTTTCAACTTATCTTCAAAATTGTGTGCCCCTGAGTGGCAATATTGAAAATAATTAACTTTTAATTTAGAATGTTGTAATGATACTGCAAAATATGAATTATGTACTACTAACTAGTCAGTGGCAACAACATACTAAGTTTAATCTCTATAATAGGGATTCAATTTAAATGAATAATATATATTTGAAATGAAAATTTATACACAAAACAAAACAAGGTTCAGTTGGTTTAATATCTAACATTTCAGTAATACACATAAAACACTTGAACACATAGAAAAAATGTATACAATATTGTACATCTCAAAAACTCATATTTTTTGGCACTTTGGAGGCTACATGTACTCATTACTTTCTCTACCTGTCGTTCCTAGTCCTAAATGCAATCACTAATTATTGTCATTCCGAGCTGATCCCTAAAGCACACAAGCCAGGACCCTGCCTTGAGCTGATCCCTAAAGCACACAAGCCAGAACCCTGCCTTGGGCTGATCCTAAAGCACACAAGCCAGAACCCTGCCTTGGGCTGATCCCTAAAGCACACAAGCCAGAACCCTGCCTTGAGCTGATCCCTAAAGCACACAAGCCAGGACCCTGCCTTGGGCTGATCCCTAAAGCACACAAGCCAGAACCCTGCCTTGAGCTGATCCCTAAAGCACACAAGCCAGGACCCTGCCTTAAGCTGATCCCTAAAGGTGTGCACAAAACACAACTCCGGGCTCATCCTAGGAGTGCATAATGCCTGGGGCTGATCCCAGCAGGCCATTAAACCAGACAAACCTCTGGGCTGATCCCAAGAGGATGCTCGACAAGATACAATGCCTAGGGCTGATTCCTACAGGATTGAACCAATCACTATTCTGGGCTGATCCCAGGATTGCATGATGCCTGGGGCTGATCCCAGCATTTTCCTCAAATCTGGACCCTGCTTAGGGTAGGGTTAAAATCTGGGATCAAATTAAATTATGCATGTATACAGGGGAGAAATCTTCTCAGCACAGCAAGGCCATGTTAGTTATATTGATATTGAAGCAATCCTATGTTGTGTGGATTCAAGTTTGTTCAAGTTATGGCCCCATCGAGCTAGGTTGGAGCCACCATATGGGGTAAAAAATTTTCATGGGAGTAAAGAGAAAAAATATCTTTTTAAAATCTTTAAAGAACAGCAGGGATAATGTTACTAATGTGAGAATTGTGGCCCATGGGCCACCTGTTTGATTTCAGATAATGCTCCATTGAATCAGCTGACTTGTTAATTTTGTTATTGTTTATTACATGTTGATGTTTTGTTTTATTACATGCTTTTGTTTCCTTTTTTTTCATTCTCTCTTCTAATTTTTTTTTTTAATTTTCTTTTTCTGTTGTTGATTTTCATTCTTTAAGGTTCTAACAGTATATTATGAGCTAAAAAATAAATAATAATTATTAATAATTAGTAATCCCAGCTGTCTGCATATAAACACTGTACATTTCAATGCTACTTATCCTTAACTAATCTTTACTAATCCTTAAATTGTCACCTCCGTGGTGCACTGGTTAGAGCATTTGCTTTAGAGTCGCTTTGTAAGGAGTTGATCCTTGTGTCGCAGGGTTTGAATCCCACTGTGGGACATGGAGACCAGTGCTTTGGATGAGACTGTTAAAACTGAGGTCCTGTGTCACAGTACCTGCTGGCACGAAAAAATCCCTCACTCAGTGGCCCTGAGTGCAGAGTATAGGTCTAAATTTGTAGCCCTCCACCATCTAATGGCATCTCCATATGAGTGAAAAATTCTTGAGAGGGATGTTAAACAACAAACAATAATCCTTTAATCAAGTCTTGTTTAGGTAAATATGACTGTGGACTGATTTTATTGTGTAAAATTATTAAAACCCTGAAACTTTAAATGTTTCTAAGAATTCTGGATGTGCCTGTTAAAGTATTTGACTTTTCCAGAGACTGCTTTCATTTACCTGTCTTTTTGACACCAACTGAGTGATTAGAACTACATGTATACATGTATATGTATCAGTTTTGTTTAGAGTAATTAGAGCTGTAAATGTATCTTTTTTTTTGTTAACTGAGTTATAAGTGCTGTAAATGTACCATGTTTGTAACTGAGTAATTGGAACTGTAAAATTATTGTACCATTTATGTTTACAGACAGAGTAATTAGAGCTGTAAATGTAATGTTTCTGCTTACTGGGTAATTAGAACTCTAAATGTATTGTTTATGTTTACAGAGTGATCAGAACTATAAATGCACCTTTTATGTTTACAGTTAGTGACTACAGCTATAAATGTACTGTTTATGTTTACAGTGAGTGATTAGAACTGTTAATGTTTACGGACTGAGTAACTAGAGCTATAAATGTACAGTACTGTTTATGTTTACAGTGAGTGATTAGAACTGTTAATGTTTACAAACTGAGTAATTAGAGCTGTAAATATACTGTTTATGTTTACAGTGCATGATTAGAAATGTAAATGTATACAGACTGAGTTATTAGAGCTGTAAATGTACTGTTTATGTTTACAGAGGCTGTAAACCCAGTGTTTGTTTTCTCCTCCGTGGCCCTCTTTTTCTCCATTGTTATGTTTGTGGGTCGCGCCTTCTTTGGATGGTTTAAGAATCTGTCCTCAGCCACCAGAAAATATATGGTAAGGGCAAGTAACTCTATAAGGAATCATCACTTTGGCATTTTAATGACAAAGCACTTTTGACACTTAAGTATTAAAACAACACCAAAAAAATTAGATTAATATGCATTATAAATCAAACAAAGAATTTACTTGTTTTAATGTAAATGAATGAGCTTGAAAGTTCATTTGCATGAACCCTATACTTGTGTATTTACTATGCCAAGTAGAAAGTGCAGTGAAATTCCAGGCATGAGTGTTGTGATCTTTTTTAAAGAGATTGTGCATGATATGAAAAGAGAATTTTTCTACAAATATGCATGATATGAAAGATATTGTGATAGTCATTTCATATGTTTGCCCATGCCTCTGTTATTGAAATGACAGATCATGACTCACTCATGATGTTATTCAGTTTAACAACTGTATTAAAAGCACTTATATTTAGCTAAGAGAGCAATAAGCTATATTTTTAAAATTTTGATTGTACAGAAAGATCAACCTAAGGAATCGAATGATAGGTCACAAAATCCCCCCTCGGTTGATTCTCCAGATGTAAGTTCCTCCACACTTAATTCATTTACTGCACACGCAGAATGCTACTACTAACGTTATTCTATAGCTACATGTAGCATGATACTTATACATGTATTAAACGTTACTAACAACATTTACAAAGCTATGCTTATGTGAATTTCATTGAACAAGATTCACATTTTTCTTGATGGAAGGTTCAGAATTTTTCAGCTTTTAATGTTGATGACAGAGTGTTCTGATAAGAATTACCTTATTTGGAAGGGGTGGGTGGGTGGGGGGGGGGGGGGCATGCCTGGCATCTGCCAGTTGCTGTCTGTCTTTCTGAAATGTGTCAACTTTTTCTGTACAAGATGGTGACACAGACATGTAGTTGGTTAAAAGTGAAGATCAAGATCAAACTTTACTGCCAGGTCCAAAAGTTGAACAAAACCCAGTTAGACTTCTAAAGCTTAATCCTCAAATTAGATTTGGAATTACATGTACATGTATGATAGCTGCAGACATGTAGCTGGTCTGAAAAAAATTGTCCCTGTTTTTGAGACTAGTAAGTTACGAATCTGTAGACACAGTAGTTAGAATTATTGAAGACTTCACAAAAGAGCAAGTTGGTCATGGTGAAGTTCCATGCCAGGTCAAGGTCATATATATGGAGATCTAAGGATCAGTTGGTTTTCTGTCACCATAACAACAATCTTGGTCATAACTTTAAAACTATAAAGGATAGAGACTTCATATTTGGGGAAGATCAAGGGGAAATATCAATTTGAACTCTGCCACCAGAGGATGGATATATCATGTTTTTTTGTCTTGTTTTCTTTATATCTAATAGACATGGTAATATAGCCTAATAAAACAAATTGTTGAATTAGCAAATGTAGGAATTTTGACATTATGTTATTGTAATCAGAAAGACAGTAACTAAATATTGTTTCTATCCAGCACAGTAGACACATTTTTATATGAATTTACACAAAATACATTGATAGTTGATGTTTTTGGTTGATTCCTTGGATAGCAATGTTCAGGTGGGTCAGATATTCAGTATATCCTTGTAGTAAACTGGTACCCTGCTCCTTGTGTTGCTGTTTGGCAGTGTAGCTTCCCTTTGTTGTACCATTTGGTGTCTATTACAGTACCCTATTACAAGCTTTCATCATTGTGGCATCTGTTATTGTGCCCTATTGATATCTTTTGTCATGTGGCGTCTTTTATATGGTGACATTTATATCTCTTGTCATGTGGTGTCTTTTATATGGCGACATTTATATCTTTTGTCCTTTTTGTCTACTGTCAGAACACGGAGGATAATTGTGAAGAAAAGGTAGGAAAACGTATAATAATAGTTACAGTCTTACACACAGGACCAAAATGAAATATATACATGTAATAACAATTACAGTCTTACACATAGAACCAAATATATACATGTAATAACAATTACAGTCTTACACATAGAACCAAATATATACATGTAATAACAAAATTTACAGTCTTACACATAGAACCAAATATATACATGTAATAACAATTACAGTCTTACACATAGAACCAAATATATACATGTAATAACAATTACAGTCTTACACATAGAACCAAATATATACATGTAATAACAAAATTTACAGTCTTACACATAGAACCAAATATATACATGTAATAACAATTACAGTCTTACACATAGAACCAAATATATACATGTAATAACAAAATTTACAGTCTTTCACATAGAACCAAATATATACATGTAATAACAATTACAGTCTTACACATAGACCCATGTACTAATAACAATTACAGTCTTACACACAGAAGGTTATCTGATTGATTAAAAGGTCATCACATTCAAGGTTTTAAAGTCATTTACAAAATTATAAATTCTAGGGATAACAATATGGTTATCATATTAATGATGTAGTTTAATGACGAGTACATTAATTCTTTGAATTCCATGACAAACTATGTTCTTTATGTTTACATGTACCTGTGAAGTATATTGATGTATTTGTCTGAGGGTATGTTGCCACATCTGTGTTGCTCTTGTGAAAGTATGCAGTTATTACAGGAGAGTTAGGGTTACTGTTATATTGGCTGGGTCATAGAAGGTGTTACTTTGTCTTTGAGCATGAGTCGGTTTATACATCATAGGAACACTTTTAAATACAGACATTCTCTACATGTACTAAATGACTGATAAAATTCTGAGGTCAAATTCTTGGCAAATTGGCTTCTTAAAAATTACATTAATTTGAATATTATTCATTTTCCCAGTTCTCTTTAAGACATTAAGTTCTGCTTTGAAAAAGGAATTGCTACAATCTGCATGTATTAAGTTGCTGAATACTATAAATTTCACAATTAAGTGATATGTAATTTTGATGTTTTAGAGAAGTAGGGCGTCCATATTGTAATTGTGAGTCATATTCAAATCTGAATTTACATCCTGATTTGATCAACATATTTCATCATGTTTAGTGCCAAATTTTTTTTTAAGTGTAATATGTGGTAAACATGGAAGTTCAAGAATTTCGGGATATTTCCCTGAATATCGTCAGATTTCAAAAAATGGAAAAAAAAAAAAAGGGATTTGTTTGCAAGTGATCAAACATTTTAACTTAGAACATTTGGTAATCTATATAAAACTTATAAATTTGTACATCCATGGTTACATTTACAAATTATTCAAAAATGAACATCGTTCTTTTCTGTGTCATTGCAGCACTTTGTGGAACAAGAGCAAGGAGCCAGTACACCAGATTCTACAGATAAGGTAAGTGTGCTTTACTTTTGGTCACCACTTGGTGGAAATTCCAGTCAACACTAACAATGGAAGATACTGTAAAACAACTCTACTATATGACTCCTTTTTACAGCTCACCTGAGCCTAATTACTCAGGTGAGCATTGTGGCCCATGGGCCTCCTGTTTCACTGTTTTATTTCTGGCTTCAAATTAAGTCATCTCAAAACTAGTGAAAATTTGTTGCACATAATATAGTTTAGAGCAGCAGATGATGAATATTACATCTTTTTTCAGCCTTTTGTTGCTGGAGTTCTATTGGATAATAATGCCCCGCCTTCAGAGAATGGTGCTAGCCGATTGGCTGCTTCCTATGGAACTATGTCAGGCACTACACCAGTAAACCAGGAAAATGAAGAAGTGGACACTAATGATGTCCATTATGTCCAGTAGTGGTCATTTTACACCTACGAATCAATGTCTTCAAATTATAGAACTCCAAGAGATGTATAAAAACATAGATTTACTACTTCCAACAACCTACATTAAATATAGATATTTTTTTTTTTCAAAAATTACCTTACAGGAATTTACATGATATTAATGAGGCATAATTTTAAAATGGCAAGTTTAGAACATACTTAAGTAAATACATGTAATAGTATGTAAGCAAACTTAACCTTAAAGAAATAACAGTACATATACATGAACTAGTACTAGAAAGTCATTTTGATATGTAAATTACACAGGCAGTTCCATTGGTATTTTAAACAGCTCAATGCCAAAATTTAAGCTCAAAAATGAACTGTCTGGAGTCAAGTATACATATATGAGAAAAAAATATTGTTGTTATGAAATGTGTTGCAAATTTAACATGTTTAATGTGTATATTTTTTAATTGGATTTTGAAAAAAATGCATGGAGTAAATACATCAAATATGTATCGATCTAGTTTCTTTTTTTGATTTTTTTTTTAATTAGGTAGATTTTACAGATCACACTGTCTGTAACTTTTTTGCATAATACCATATATATATACATAATATTTACTCTGTGGCTTATACCCAGCTGTTTAGGATTTGTCACAAAAATCAAAACCCAAAATTATTGGGGGGTTTTTCCCAATTTTATTTTTTTTTATGCCTCACAGTTGTTGTGTAGTAATTTTACCTGTAATCTATAGATCTACTTGTAGACAGATTGTAAAATAATGTTTCTGTTGCTTTGTAAATTGTGATTATTATACAGTTTTACAGTAGCATGAAATTAAAAATTATCCAAAAATGGATTTTTAAAAAAATGATTGAAAGGGGAAATAAATGCATTATTTGAAGCTTTTCACTGAAGATTTTTGCCAGATGACGTAGTTTTGATAGTAGACTAGCTCCATTTTTTAGTTGAGAAAATGGGAAGTCAATACATTGCAATGTTGGTATGTAAATTTGTTTCAGGGTAGTACACTTAATATTTCAATTTAAATATTATTACCAGATGTTGAAGATGGGGATACACATTTCAATTTCTTCCATTTGTGTATTTATATTTTTTTTTCATTTGGGCTACTTAGCAAAACATAAAATGTGTTGTTTTCACTATGTACTATTTGCTGGCATTTTCTGTGGTAGTATTTCGCATTTGACTGACATTTGAAGAAATGCCTAAGTATATTCATTGTAATTTATTACATATACATGTATATGTGTGTATACCCAAGGTGTGGTTAATGTGATGCAGAGTAATATTATATCAACATTATGTATGATGTATAATGCCTTTATTAAACAAAAACAAATATTAAGATATGAAGGCTGTAATTTAATTTTAAGTACCTGTATACGTTACTTTATATGTACAGTGTGGTTATTGTATGAATATCTCTTTTATTTATTTATTTATTTTTTTCCAAATTATTCAAAATCACAGATAATTTCAGAATTCAATTCACTTGAAGCATAAGTAGACATTGAACATGTTTCTTATGTTGTTTGCAATAGGCCAAACAGTTAGGTTTTATATAGGTAATTTTTTTTTTAGATTTCATTTTAATTAATCTTGTATTGAAGTAACAAAACTTCACTGAAAGCAAGGCTCTTGAGGCAATAAGTAGGTGTCCATAGATTAATATAAATGAAAGATGGCTTGGGTGCACATTGTAAACCATGTCTCTCATACAATGTCAGAGCTGCTACTTTTACAATATGTCAGAGCTGCTACTATAGCATTTTAAAATGGTAATTTTTTTTTCTGAGACTTGTGCAATATACATGTACATTACTGGTACATGTGTTTACTTATTTTTTGTTGAATTATCAGAGTTTATTTCATGTTGTATAAATGTCCTACCCTGTTGCTGACAAATAAATCTGTCTTTGTCCAGTGCATTACCGATTATTTCAAAAGACAGGAAGTACTTGATCTTGAATTATCCATGATTGAAAAATAAAAATTCCATCAAGTAAGCTATTACCTCAGTTCAGCAGATTCCAAAACACTAGGGGGCAGTTTGTGTCTGGTTGCCAGTGGTTGGTAGGATGTCAACCAGTTCATAATGCAAGAGAATGTTAGTCAAAGATACAGAGGGTTTATCGCTTAAATCCTGTTTTGGCTTCTGTGTATGTAAATATGTGTCCTAGATGTAGCCTGGTCTTTATAAGTAACTGCAGTCAGTGAGGACAGGAATGAAGAAGGTAAGAGACTGGCACAGACACAGAATACCAGTTCATGTATATAATTTACCCAATATTTGTGCACTTTTACATTTTTAGCACATATTCAACAAAAAAATATTTCCTAATATACTCCTCCAATAATACACCCAGTCATTACATCAAGACATGATGACTATTGGATTTGAACATGAAACATATAAATGTCCAAGCAACAGCATGGAAGGGTTAAAAAGTTACACCCTTGACTAGATTTGTGACAATTTTTTTTGTCTTCTTACACCATCACCTTGTAATTGGAACATGACCTCAACAAACTGTGAAACACTTTTCAGTCACAAATGGCTCCAATTGATCTAAATATAAAGGCCAGAAAAAAAATTGTACGATTTTTCATATCTTAATTGCCCATTTTCCTTCACCTTGGACGTATAACAGGCAAGGAAGAGTATTGGCCAGATTCGGACACAAATATGGTCCTTCTGCAAATGGTGTGGGTGAGCTACCAGGCAGATGTATCCAATTCCTTCCTCTCCCCTCCTTATTCTCCTAGATTTCCACCTTGAAAGCCCCACTAAGACTTAGAAAACAACGTTTGGTTTTGTTGCTGGGAGCCAAATACAAAAGTGGGGAAAATTGTCAGCCAGACTGGGACTCAAATCTGGGACCTCCCACAAGTGGTGCAAGTACTCTACCACCATTCCCCATTACAGAGGTACATGTATGACTTCGAGTCAAACAGACAAATAATTAAAACACTTCTGGACTTGAAAAATTGATAGGGTGTATTCACAGAGTGTTTTTTTAGCTGGAATGACAACAATGAAAATAACAAACTTCATTATTAAATGACATTTAATAGTAGTACACTAACAGATATGAATGATTTGATCAGAAATGAGATGGAGTCTTGTGAGCACTATTTATAGCACTTGAAATCTGTATCAGAGTGAGACTCCAGTGTCTAGTGTTGTTCTATCTAAAGTGCTAACATTTCTCATAGTTCTTCCTCGTCTGAATCGTCCGATTCCTCTAGAGCCTCCTGCAAATTTAGGTAAGTGTAAAATCAGTGAATGATACTCAAAATTAAATTATATGCTATTTGCATAAGAATGTTTTTATTATGTGTGAAATGAAATTTTACTATAATTACAAATCATCAATCAATTTTCTTTCTCAAACCTTTCACTACTGATTCCATAATAAAATCATTCTTAGCAAGCATTTTAGGAAGGAATTTTACAGCTACCCAAGTAATGAAGTTACATGTATATATGGGACACTTAACATTTTATAAACCATTGAGTGGTTTATAAAAAAGCATTAACTTCTTAGCCCAGGTACAAGTATAATTTGGGTAGCTATTAAATTTATTCCTTATAATTTAATTTTGTAACATGTAGTGCAAAAAAATAGAACAGTTTCTCCTCAGAAATAATTTCAATTTGTACAAAGTTTAAATTCAACATTAAGTGGATTGATACATTTTTGACATCATATTGTGATGTAGGCAATACAGGTTATACAATATAAACTTATTTTTTCTGACAATCAAATTACAACCAGAATTTAATTATTAATCTATATTTGTTCACATTACATGTCATAACAATAGACTGACAACTGATGATTTGTGAAACTGTTTTAGTAGATCAACAATATTACTGGACCCTACCTTTGCAAATTTCTCTGCCTCGGCAAACACATTCTGTGGGACCAGTTCATGTTTTCCCCCAGTCACTATAAAATAAAATGCATTTATAGATCGATCATGTTGAAATACTAAGCCAATCCCACTTAAATATAAAACCTTAAGATTGTAGAATTTCAAAATATGTGTAGTTCTTTACCATCTCCAACCCAGCTTAGTTCTAACTCAAAGTTCTTGTCTTTCACTTCATCATGCACAATGTAAATTCTGTCAAAAAATGAAATGTACTGATAAGAATTAACTCCTGTTATTCATAGAGTGATTTTACAGAATCAGAAATATGTATAAATATAATTACCGTGATTACATCACAATGCATTTTAAATACAGAATAAAATAATTATGTGAAAATGCTGTTGTATCTGGGGGATATTTATATCAGAGATTTTTCTCACATATAAGTACTTACTATAAATTACCCTGAAATATAACTTTTCATGTTCACATTATAATATTTATAAAACTGTGAAAGAGTCTTCAAACTTTTTATGAGATTGTAACACATAAAAGCTCTACATCGATGTTAATTGTATCTGAAAATATCTGAGGAAGAGTTAAAAATGCAACTTTTTTTGTTCACTGCAACAATTAATTTACACACTCACATTTTAGCAACTTCTTTCACTAAGTCACCTATAGGCATGTCTTTCATCTGTAATAGCAGAAATGTGTATTTCAGTAACAAGATAACTACTGTCTGAGAAATATTTTTGACTTTGATAACATTTTACCAATTTTCTGTTATGACTATCATTCAGACTCTATACCACTTGACTAGATCCACTCTGGATTCAATTTTTTTCTTGAATTCAATTCTTCCAGAGAAATTGTTTAGACAAAGATCAAGCTTTTGAGAGAAACTAAATCCTACTTCAATGCACATACAAGCTATTATTGATTTAACTCAAGCCTTTCACCTTTAATTTTTCTATTTCTGTTTTGGCTGCCTGTTTTGCTTTTCCTGTTGCACATCCATGATATCCCTGAAATAAGAAAGATTCATCACAGTGTGTATAAAAATAAAACAGATCGAGTCAAATCTTTGCACTTACTAAATTCACAAATTTAGTATTTTTTCTTGAATATTGCATCTTTACCCATGAGATTCCTGATGGATCTATCATATACATCTGTGGCCCATCTTCTGGGGTGTAGCTGCCCACAATGAGGCTGACACCAAAGGGACGGACACTACTGTACAGGGTGTGGGCGTGGACATACCCCGCCACTCGATCTGTTAAGTGCTGCAGGAGGAAATCAAGGTTCAAAAGCACATTTGTTTGGATTACGAGTTTTACACACTGTTGTCACATACACGAATATATTGTGTATCAGGGTCCATTTTTGCAAAATGATAACAATGCCTAGATTTCCGAGAGATCACTTTTGCATATCACTCATTATGAAATTTATCAATCATTAAATTTGTAAGAGTTTGAACACACATATCAAGAGGAGAGGGGACCTTAGTTTTATCTGTACAAAAAAATTATCCAATGGGTTATAGGCTCTTAAAAATACCTCCAGCAGTATGAAGGATCTATTATTGTATCTGCATTGGCCCTGACCACACAAGTGAGTGGGATGGGAGATCCTGTATAATAGTTATGACTATATACCTTGAGTGGGATGGGAGATCCTATCTATAATACATACCTTGAGTGGGATGGGAGATCCATAATTGTATCTATAATTAGAAGCTTCTTCTCTGGCTGTCTCTACTATTGCTCTCGAGTCAGCCATCAGTCCTGCTGTTGCCTAGAGACAGAGCAGAAGATGGAATTTTCAAACTTTCAAATGTTGTACGCAAAAATATCAAATTGGTAGTTATTACCAACCCTCCCCAATAATAAAAGGTTATTTTTTAGTAGGTTCTTCCTAATTTTATTAAATGTATCAAAATAAAATTTTTAAAAAATAGAATCTTTCTTGATAAATATGAATTTCAGAAATTCTGCAAAACATCTCTGTTTACTAAATTCCTTTCTGAGAGACAGCTAAGTTATACTTCCTTCTCATGTATTCTGTTTGTACTTACAAGTCCTATATGTCTGTCAATGTTGAAGATTCGTTTATTTGCTCCAGCTTCATACAGCTTTGATGTAACGAGTTTTTCTACACCAAACACAACTCCATCTTTTCCTCTGATACCAACTGCAGTTCTGCCATTATAGATTTAATTGGGATATCAATTTTTTTGAAATATGTTTAAATGAAATATTCTTAAATAATCACAGTAAGATTTTACACACTTTAAATGTAGTTTTCTTTTGATATGATTTGTGAAAACATAATTTGATATTTTTTTTGCCCAATTTGAATTAGATAATCTATTTACTGGACAGATTTTATAGGAGTTAAATGTCTATAGCAATTTTCTAATCTTCATGTTCAGTGATGTTTGCATTTTGATACAACTGTTTTATCATCACCATGCAATGTTTCATTATAAAATCTTAACTAACTTACTGTCTTTAATGATCATTTGTGTATATCCTTATGATAAGTAATTAGAGTTCCTTCCTACTATCATTAATGAGTACACATATATAACCTTGCAAAATATATACTGTGTTTCATAGTAAACAATTTTTTGGCTTTTCATTTACTTACCCGCTATTTTCAACAGCTTTAAGTGCATATTCAACTTGAAATACCCGACCATCTGGTGAAAACTGTGATGCTGACAAATCATACTGAAATGTTTAAAAAGGAGTATAAATTCATCCTCAAAATGCAAAAGAATTTGCCCAAATTTAAATAAGGGTTTCAGTGACAAGCAGAAAATATAAAATGGTGAACCTGTTGCCAAAAATGGTGAACATGTTGCCAATTATGAATAAATTTATTTATATACAATAAAGAAAACAAGTACACTTTTATTTAAATATTAATTTTTATTGCTTAGTGCAAACACCCACAAAGTCAATTAAAAATTAATGATAAAATATACATTAAAGTAATCTAGCTCATTGCATGTGTTTTATAGGACCATGCAGATACAGTGGAAGTTCAGTATCTCAAATATCATGGATAAGTTGAAGAGATGTAGAAGTTCCAACCACTTTTAACTCAATATCACAGACCCTTAGATATCTCAATTTTTTTCTTGATTCCATCAAGTTTGAGATAATGAGATTATATACTGTAATCAATTAAAGGATAGATCATTCCATCTTATTTACTTGTATTTACTAGTTAGAATAATCTAACTGTGTATCGTGACAAGCCCTCACCACAATTAGAATACGTCCCATGTACTTGCAATGTAGCAAATCGGACCGGATCCGCTCCGAAATGATTTTGAAGTATACAAAAGGAGTTGCACTGAAAATAACTACCAAATTAATCATTCGGGCTGTCACGGTTCCAAAATTTTTCGGGTCGGCTCTGTAAATTTTCGGTTCGGTTTCGGGTTTTTCGGGTCGGGTATTTACATCTATTTTAAACCTTAGTTTCATGAATTTAACTTGAAAAATCTTTATTTGTTACATTAAATTTACATTGAAAACAAGTTTTAACCATGCGAACGTCTAGACATCGGTGACTTGGCCTACTATTAGCCACAACCTGACCATTCCTGCTCGTTTTGATAATTATCTAATACTTCCGTGACAAGTGTTTTGTCATGGAATGAAGTAGATTTCAGTTGTGATGTTTCATGAATTTAACTTGAAAAATCTTTATTTGTTACATTAAATTTACATTGAAAACAAGTTTTAACCATGCGAACGTCTAGACATCAGTGACTTGGCCTACTATTAGCCACAACCTGACCATTCCTGCTCGTTTTGATAATTATCTAATACTTCCGTGACAAGTGTTTTGTCATGGAATGAAGTAGATTTCAGTTGTGATGTTTATTTATCACTGTTATCGTCATCATTCCTTTGATTTCGACGCCATTTTTTGTATTGAACAGACTTTAATATATAAACCAGACCCGAACCGAAATCCGGAAAAATGGAACCGGAACCGAACCGAACAACTTGGACCGCGGTTCTCGGTTATGTCGGGTACTCGTGACAGCCCTATTAATCATATCAAACCTTTTTGAGATTGTATATGCCTTTTAACCGAAAAAATAATCCATATAAAGACAAAAATTCAACTCCTTTTCCATACATGCCAACTTTTGAAAATTTCCTTGGGGGAGATTGCGCGTAATGACATTTTTCAAAGTTCTAAATTCGCAGCATTTTGTCGTGAAAATAAGTATTTGTTGTTTTTTTTTTTAAATATCAGTCTAATATCTTGTATCATATATTATCACTACTTCATAGTGTTTTCTTCTCTATCAACTTCAACAACAAGAGGCCCAGGGGCCACATCGCTCACCTGAGCACTATGGCTAGGAAAAAGCAGAAATCAGTTCAGTCTTGAAAGGTTGAAAAGTTTGAATAAAAAAGTGGTTCGGGGGGAGGGGGGGGGGGTGTCATAAATTGAACAAATTTGAATCTACATTATCTGAGGATGCTTCCATTTAAATATGACCAATCATGGCTTTGCTGTTCTTGAGAAGAAGATTTTTAAAGATTTAACCTATGTATTCCTATGTAAAACTTTGATCGCCCATTGTGGCCCCACCCGACCCCCGGGGGTCATGATTTGAACAAACTTGAATCTACACTATCTGAGGATGCTACCATATAAATATGACCAATCATGGCTTTGCTGTTCTTGAGAAGAAGATTTTTAAAGATTTAACCTATATATTCCTATGTAAAACTTTGATCCCCCATTGTGGCCCCACCCGACCCCCGGGGGTCATGATTTGAAGAAACTTGAATCTACACTATCTGAGGATGCTACCATATAAATATGACCAATCATGGTTTTGCTGTTCTTGAGAAGAAGATTTTTAAAGATTATTCATATATATTCCTATGTAAAACTTTGATCGCCCATTGTGGCCCCACCCGACCCCCGGGGGTCATGATTTGAACAAACTTGAATCTGCACTACCTGAGGATGCTTCCATATAAATATGACCAATCATGGTTTTGCTGTTCTTGAGAAGAAGATTTTTAAAGATTATTCATATATATTCCTATGTAAAACTTTGATCGCCCATTGTGGCCCCACCCGACCCCCGGGGGTCATGATTTGAACAAACTTGAATCTACATTATCTGAGGATGCTACCATATAAATATGACCAATCATGGCTTTGCTGTTCTTGAGAAGAAGATTTTTAAGGATTTTTCCTATATATTCCTATGTAAAACTTTGATCGCCCATTGTGGCCCCACCCGATCCCCGGGGGTCATGATTTGAACAAACTTGAATCTACACTACCTGAAGATGCTTCCATGTAAATATGACCAATCATGGTTTTGCTGTTCTTGAGAAGAAGATTTTTAAAGATTTAACCTATGTATTCCTATGTAAAACTTTGATCGCCCATTGTGGCCCCACCCGACCCCCGGGGGTCATGATTTGAAGAAACTTGAATCTACACTATCTGAGGATGCTACCATATAAATATGACCAATCATGGTTTTGCTGTTCTTGAGAAGAAGATTTTTAAAGATTATTCCTATATATTCCTATGTAAAACTTTGATCGCCCATTGTGGCCCCACCCGACCCCCGGGGGTCATGATTTGAACAAACTTGAATCTGCACTACCTGAGGATGCTTCCATATAAATATGACCAATCATGGCTTTGCTGTTCTTAAGAAGAAGATTTTTTAAAATATTTTCCTATATATTTCTATGTAAAACTTTGATCCCCCATTGTGGCCCCACCCTACCCCCGGGGGTCATGATTTGAACAAACTTGAATCTGCACTACCTGAGGATGCTTCCATATAATTATGACCAATCATGGCTTTGCTGTTCTTAAGAAGAAGATTTTTAAAGATATTTTCCTATATATTTCTATGTAAAACTTTGATCCCCCATTGTGGCCCCACCCTACCCCCGGGGGTCATGATTTGAACAAACTTGAATCTGCACTACCTGAGGATGCTTCCATATAAATATGACCAATCATGGCTTTGCTGTTCTTAAGAAGAAGATTTTTAAAAATATTTTCCTATATATTTCTATGTAAAACTTTGATCCCCCATTGTGGCCCCACCCTACCCCCGGGGGTCATGATTTGAACAAACTTGAATCTGCACTACCTGAGGATGCTTCCATATAATTATGACCAATCATGGCTTTGCTGTTCTTAAGAAGAAGATTTTTAAAGATATTTTCCTATATATTTCTATGTAAAACTTTGATCCCCCATTGTGGCCCCACCCGACCCCCGGGGGTCATGATTTGAACAAACTTGAATCTGCACTACCTGAGGATGCTTCCATATAAATATGACCAATCATGGCTTTGCTGTTCTTAAGAAGAAGATTTTTTAAAATATTTTCCTATATATTTCTATGTAAAACTTTGATCCCCCATTGTGGCCCCACCCGACCCCCGGGGGTCATGATTTGAACAAACTTGAATCTGCACTACCTGAGGATGCTTCCATATAATTATGACCAATCATGGCTTTGCTGTTCTTAAGAAGCAGATTTTTAAAGATATTTTCCTATATATTTCTATGTAAAACTTTGATCCCCCATTGTGGCCCCACCCGACCCCCGGGGGTCATGATTTGAACAAACTTGAATCTGCACTACCTGAGGATGCTTCCATATAAATATGACCAATCATGGCTTTGCTGTTCTTAAGAAGAAGATTTTTTAAAATATTTTCCTATATATTTCTTAAGAAGAAGATTTTTAAAAATATTTTCCTATATATTTCTATGTAAAACTTTGATCCCCCATTGTGGCCCCACCCTACCCCCGGGGGTCATGATTTGAACAAACTTGAATCTGCACTACCTGAGGATGCTTCCATATAATTATGACCAATCATGGCTTTGCTGTTCTTAAGAAGAAGATTTTTAAAGATATTTTCCTATATATTTCTATGTAAAACTTTGATCCCCCATTGTGGCCCCACCCTACCCCCAGGGGTCATGATTTGAACAAACTTGAATCTACACTACCTGAGGATGTTTCCACATAAGTTCCATCTTTCCTGGCCCAGTGGTTCTTGAGAAGAAGATTTTTAAATGATGCCATTATTTTTTCACTAATTCCTAATTATCTCCCCTTGAAAGGGGGCGTGGCCCTTCATTTGTATAAACTTGAATCCCCTTCACCCAAGGATACTTTGTGGCAAGTTCGGTTGAATTTGGCCCAGTGGTTCTTGAGAAGAAGTCGAAAATGTGAAAAGTTTACAGACGGACAGACGGACGGACGGACAGATGGACGACGGACAAAAAGTGATCAGAAAAGCTCACTTGAGCCTTCGGCTCAGGTGAGCTAAAAACACAATATTATTTGAAATTTAAAAAAGAAAATTTTAATCAAAATTATTTAATATGTTAATATAAAGATAAACATTACCCCCCTGCAATAAGCAATGCAGATATTACATGGATAAGGATGTTAAACTTAATTACAAATAAGCTAAAGCAAGTTACTAAAAGAGTTCATGCAGTTACTGTTTTTGTCTGTTGGTAAATTACACATTTTATAAAGCTACTAAGTCACAGACAATTTATTTGTATTTTTTTTAAATCAAAGGGAATACTAAGAAGAAGTCACTTTTAATGTTTTCATACAAAGTCTGTAAAAGGCATGATACGTCTTCTCCTTTCTAACTTTTTGTGAACCACTCCTGGAATTCTGCTTTAAAAAACTAACGGTTTGTACTTGCAGACCATAGTACAGTGGTTCCCGTTTTATCGAATAGTCAAGTTGTCAGCCTAGTTTTATCCGAATAGCCGAAAATTAGAATAGCCGATTGCTCCATACCGAGTCCAAAGATAGATGTATAGAGCTACATGTATTGATAATACATCGTAGCTAGCAAATTTCAAGCTTGCACTTTCGTTTTCTTTTGACATGTTTACTTAATGACTTTACTAAAAATAATTTATTTCACTTACTTATGAATTTAATATGAAATTTTTTTTCAAATAAATTGACGTATAGAATATATTCTTTGATAGTTATTGCCATCTTTCTTCAGCACATGTTTACATTCCTTCTTCGACGGTCGCCATTTTGGAAACGGAAGTAGACTAAATGCTTGACTAATAACCGTAAACTATTTTTCCCTGGATATATTGTAAATTAAAAATAAACAAAAATATTAAATATATGTAATTGTTTCCTTTTGATTTGTTACTTTAATACGGTTACATATTTTATACTGTGTGTGAGTTTACCAGTCTCGTTCTTGTCTGCTGAAGGGAGATTTTGAGAGCCATGTGGAGAAAGATGGTATGAATTTTGAGACGTATTTTTATAGAACGAGCCATTTGTGATTTTTACCATAAATTTTGCACTGAAAAGTGAATAAATATTAAGCCAATTGACCAAGTTAAACGATTGAATAGGTTTATTTCATTATCCAAGCAAATTGTCATACACAAGCTAATCAGTTCAATAATTAAAATTTCACACCGAAAAAAATTGCAAATAATTGTCATAATTAACAAGTGCATCATTGAACCCAAGCTGATCACCACAACTGTAATCAAAACATATCTATTTACTATGCCCACTATTGACACAGGTAAGGTGCCTGTGTGCATCCAGGCGTAACTAATCCCCTCATTGTCGTACTCAAGCCAGTCAAGGTAATTGGTGTCAAACTGTGTAAACAAAGGCTTCACATACGAAGTTGGAGGTGTGAACAAGGTGCTGATTATCAAAACACTATGACAGTCCAAATTTTTGTATCGGATAAAACGAAATTCAAGTATTTTCTCATCAGAATATCAGGTGAAATTATTAATAAATATATAAGAAATGGTTTTGTGCTCTGATATTATATTGAAATAGCCGAAATATTCGATAAACCGCTATCCGATAAAATGGAAGCCACTGTACCTATGTTGCAGACGCATCTTTTCAAGTTGGATTTTGGCAGTGTCTTTTCCATGATCAATGACGTAGTTCGTAATTATAGTGAGAAATGCTGTATTTCCTAAACTTGAAAACCTTTTATTAACAGCTTATACGTATATTGTCAAATTTTGCTGTAAAGTGTGATCTCTCATAAGTTTGTATCCTGTCGTGTGTATTTCTAAAATTTCCACATCTGGCATGCTTGTCTAGGTTAATATACACTGTTAATGAGAATCGGGAGCAATTAAAACCACAGTAATGACTGGTTGCACAGTTGACACCTTGTTGATTACCTGTTATCAGCGGCAATAAACATATATCTACCGATAAACATTTGAACTGCCATCTTTTTTCACACGGAAATGCGGTATTATTCAAAGCGGATCGGTAAAAAATCCGGAATTCCTAAAAATCGGTAGAAATGGGATTAAAAAAATAGATCGGTAGACAAGCGGTAGGTAGGGTTAAAAATCGGTAGACTCCCGAAAAAATCGGGAAAGTTGGCATGTATGCTTTTCTTAACATTTTTTCTCGCTTCAAATTTACATGCCATGTTGACATTCAAAACTCTCTGGATTGACCATAGTAAATGCACTGAGTTCGAGTTATCATCCGTGTTTGTTTTGCTACACTGCCAATACCCAGAACGAATTCTATCGTTAAACCGGGTCCGTATGACAATATAATTTTAACGATAGAACGTTCTATCTATGTATTTACAATATCCAAGGTATTTGAGATATTGATGTTTGAGAGATTGTACAAACTTAAGGTATTCCCTTTATGTGTATTGTACTCTGGGGTAAATAAGAAAGCTAGATGAACAAATTAAAAGTAGAAGAAATGAAATGAAGAGGTGTTGATTGTTTCCTTTTCAAAAAATACATTCTGGTGAAGTATCTTGTGAAACATATTCAATTTGCATAGTTACCTGTCATGAACATTACAGGAACATAGTAAACATTTTGGAGTAAATGTTCTTGGAAAGAAAATACATATATTTTCTGAAAAATACAATACTTACTCCTGTTCCTATAGAACTCATGGTTTACGTTCTACAATTTCCACCAGCTTTGTCATGCAACTCAAAACGGATGTGAAGATGGCTATCTAAAGAAGAAAATCAACAATCCGGAATACTTATTTATCTCGGAACTTTTTTTTTTTTAATTGTTTTCAGGTAATAAATCTTTATTTATTTTAATTTATAAATTACCGAGGATTTGTTCAATTATTTGATAAGTTAAATTTAATTTGCTCTAGAAACACTGGTGTTTAGCCGGAAATTGTTATTGTTGTCAGCAGAACACGTGTCGTCTGATAATCTATGAAATTTAAGATGTAACAGACGATGAAAGATTGATTTCATAATTTTCAACATGTCAGTGGTACAGAGTTGCTGCAGCAGAATTCCGTCCATTGCTCGCAATGTCAGCGTTTTCAGAGTCTCACCCTCAAGACTTCTGAGTAGCACTTCTGTTATATGTAAGATTTTCTCAAGTACAAGATTTAGCAGCTTAGTATAGCCTAGTATTCGTTATCATTGCATTAATTTTGTGTATCTTCTAAGATCACTTCAGTTGGAAAGAAAAGAAAGTTCTTTAACTTAAGGACTGTATGCCACCTTAAAAAAAAGGGGGGGGGGGGTAAGCAATAGTGAAAATTGGGTGTGGTACATAATTATGCTGTCCCACAGAGTTGGGGCTGGATGGTTCATATTTTAAGCATGTGTGTTAACATTAACCTCGTGGTTAGGCAGGTTCTGTTGTCATGCAGATTATAGCTTATCATTAGTAGAGCACCTGTCTTGAGTTTAAATTAAGGGGACCGCTGTGTTTGAAGCTTGGTCTGTCTGTCACATTTTTAATCAACTTGTACATGTACAATGCCCCTGAAATTGTCAGTTGCAAAACTGCCTGGTTTTTCTGGGGGCAAAGATATTTAAGAATGGAGAAATGTGATATGGTCATGCAGATTCATTTGTTGTGGCCAAATAGCTCACTTTATAATATTAATTACCCCTGTGACTTTTTTTCTGTATAAAAATATAAGTATTAAACCTGCTTTTTTTTTCTAGACCTGCTAAATCTGTTACTTCTTCTTTTTTTATAGCCTAGCTCAACTGTGAAATAGTTTTTGTGCTTTTTGCCCATGGTAAAGTAGTTATTGAACTATTCACAAGCAGCATTCGATTTCTCGTGCTTTCTATCTCGGAACTTTTCTTTTTTTTCTTGATTGAACTTGACGCAAGTAAAGTCTGCTTCGGTATGATAAAGCACTTATTTACTGACTATTTGGACAGTAGCAAGTTTATGATCCCCCTGGACAGCAACTAATAGTTGCTGTCATGAGAGACAATAAACTTGCTAGTTTTGTGTCCTTTCTATATCCACAAACCCATGGCTGCTTACTACTGAATTCCCTGTTCTCGATGATGAATCACTGAATATTTTTTAAGTGACAAAAGATTTGTCTTGACCAATGAAATCACTCTGTGGCAATTTTGGGTGTGTTTACATGGTCGTCCCCATAACGAAATCATGTTTGTCATGCTTGGCAGATTTATTGATAAAAATACAATAGATCTTGAAGAACAGAGGTGAGTAAAATTAATTCTAAATTACTTACAAGGCTTAACATTAAAAGACAGGGTTTTAACTGCAGATTTTGTGTGAATATGCAGAATAGTGTCCATTGTTTTGACAAGGAAATAATTCGAACTGAAATTGATGTAAGACTCGTGGTTATGGTTACATCCAAATATATTTTCATTGGACAAAGGTTTCTGACTAGAAGCATCAGATCATTAATCCATTGCTGGCTTGCAACAATAGGGGGACCAATGTTCATGGAACATTCAATGTTCAATCTTATCTACAAATTTGTGTCCCCACAAAAGATTATTTTGTCACATAGTGACATATCTGTTCATTGAGTCTTCTGTATAGAAAATTTAACTGCAAAATTATTGTCATTTTCTTTCAATAGATCGAATGGGCACTAAAGAAGTATATATCTTATTATACATGCAGTATCTAAATTTATATTCCATTGTTAGTTCATCCTTGGTTTAGTATGGATGACAATAAATAGATTTCAAAAGATTTCTTTCTCGTTAAAAGCAATAAATTTATCTTAACTGATAAACAGTGTGAGTTTTTTTTTTAGTTTCCTCCCATGGAAAAGAGAAGAAGCTGTTTACCCCTGGTCCCCTCTCCGTGTCTCTGACAGTTAGACAAGCTGCTTTACGAGATTTGGGTTCAAGGGACATAGAATTTATCTCCACTGTCAAGTTCCTACGGTCCAAATTGGTGCAAATAGCAGGTAACCAACAGTTGAGACTTCAACTTTAATATATATTTTAAAATCATGCAAGAACATGTGTGTGTATTATTTATATTGCATTCACATTCAACTATAGGCATGATAGGTATGATTTTTTTTATTTGTTATTCCCATCTCTTTTGTGATCATCTGTTGCATATGATTGATTTCATTTCTTTGTTTAAATCAGAGATCTTCATGAGATAATAATCAAATACTGGGGCTGGGGGCAACCTTTGGTTGACTCCATTTCTTTACACATATTGATGAGTGCAGATACAAATCCATTTGAAAATATTACCTGCTAGACTGTGACATTTTTAATAACAATGCAGAATTTTGAGTTTTGAGAAGAATGGGCTCTGATAATTAAGACTTCGGTAGGAACCTGTGTAAATTTTTTAAAGAATCAATCAAGTTCAGAATCTACACAATGTCATTAGCATGGAATCTGAGTCTGAAAAGGACATGTCTTCTACAAACACAGAATCCACATTCACCATGATCAGAATATAAATATGTATCTGGCCCCATGACTCAATGTGGCAGTAGGTTACCAGTCTCAGTAGCCTAGTTGATAGGGTATTCACTTTGTGATCGGGAGGTTCAGGTTCGATTCTCATTCACCGCATTGGTTCAACATAGGTAGTGACTGTTTCCTAGCCAAGCACCTGGCACTAGAAGTAAAAGTCACGGGTCTTTTGGATGATACCTTAAAAACTGAGGTCCTGTGTCATGGCAGGCATTGGCAAGATAAAAAATAAAAAAAAAACTTACTGCTCAATAGCCCTGAATGCTGAGTAGTGAGACCTTAAAAACTGAGGTCCTGTGTCACGGTAGGGTTTAGCACCATAAAGAACCCTGACTGTTCAATGGCCCTGAGTGCAAAGTATAGGTCTAATTTTGAAGCCCTTCAGTGGTATATGGTGATGTCTCTATAGGAGGGAAAAATTCCTGACTGGGATGTAAAACAGCATACAATCAAGAAGTATAATATATATGTATGGTGGTGCAAATTAAGGCTGTGTGCCTATTGAAAGGGCTAACTTGTTTCTTTAGTGATGCAAAATTTCACAAGTTGCTTGTTTTATTTTACTGTTATCCAACTCATGCAATTTTTTTTGTGGCTAAAAGATTAATTAAAAGTATTCATTTGCAACTGTAACGTATTTTCCAGTTTTCTTGTAATATGATGCAATGGACAGTAAAGAAAGTGTTTATCATAACAGTGGGGTAGCAGAATTCCAGATGGACTTCTCTCCAATTTTTTTTTATAATGTGGATGATTTCGCACATAAGCATAGTAAATGGTAGCTAAATGCAATTAAGTGTGAGGACTATCAGATCATTGCCTTTCTTTAATTGTTTTGCTCCAATATTGTTAAGCTGTGCTTAAATGACATATTACAGTTATCTCTCTTTTATTGCCAAAGTAAGATTCACCAGATGTGATGGTTTGGAACTTTGCATGCAATACTAAACCCCATCCAATACTTTGTCTTCTTGATGCTTACCGGTATACTTATAAAAAAAAAAGAATTCTTCAAGATGAAGAAATATTTTTTTTTTCATTTAGTCCCACCCTAGGGACTAAACCTCTTTATGATGTACGTGGGTAAAAAAAATTCAACATTTATGTTGAAGGACCTTTGCTTATTGTTAAAAATTGGTTGTTAGCAAACAATTTGGGTATATAGCATTTATGGGTAAAAGTAAACAAAATGTTTGAATTTCATAGTCTCTTTCGGCCCTGAGGCCTTGACCACAGAAATTAATACAATCTTCAAAAATCTTAATTCTAATTAAGCAGTCAAGCTGATTCAGAATCGAAATGAGTATTAATACACAAAAATGTCATGAAATACTGACATTTTGACTTGACGTGTATCATGAAACATATGAATATGTATCACTTTTCATTCAGGTTCTATAAATAAGAAGACTTGGGGAAAAACTTATGCGAAGTTTTCTGTAATATTGTCAGATATCAATGTATTCTTCTAACTTCAAATACAACATTTAATTATTACATTTAAGCTGAACAAAATTTGTACGGTAAATGGAGAATTTATCTTTGTCCACCATATTTCTCTTCCTTTGGTAATATTTCTAGAGCCCCTATAGAAGCTGTTCACTTGGTCACAGTTCAGTGTAGTAGGCTTTTCAGGTGTAACCTTTGTGGATGTACCTTACATTGACATTGTACATTAAAATATCGACCAGAGAGAAAAGTTACTATGAGTACTGAACCCTTTACTGAACTGTATCATTCATGTCTCTGGGTTCAGTGTTCAGGTCCTGAGTTGGGACTCAAGTTGGTCATATATTAAAAATATGTATATTATATCTGTGAAAATCTTATTTACTTCTGGACGTCTGGTAGGCAAACTGTTTGCATTATAATTAACATTTAGTCATCTACCAAGAGTGTCTAAAAATCTTTTTCTATACACATGGATATAAAGCAGGCAAATTGTTGGCATGATAAAAATGAGCAGATAACCCTCTACAAAATTTATAATAATTCATTTCTCCCAGGTTCGGGAATCAATAGTGAACATTTTCTTCTTTGCTCCTGAACTCCCAGGAGAAAAACTGTATGAATATGATAGTGATTACAGAGTCTTAAAATTTTTGTTACACAAGTCCAGAGTTAAGTTTCAGGTGGGGCTAGAGTGGTAATAACATAAGAAACTCATAATGCTCAGGTTATCGTCAAGGCTCATAGGCCTCTTGTAATGTTAAGAATTATAGGCAAGACCATGTTGAACCTCTATAAAAGAAATGTGAGTGAATTGCTTCATTTTGCTGTAAACTAGTTTTATGTAATTAAGATTTTAAACTTTTTTGCAGACTAGTTAATGTTGATGTTCATGAGTTAATGTTCATTAAATTGATTGCAGTCTATTTAGAGTATCTTAATTCAGTTGCCTTATGTTAGCAATGCTGTAGTATGGAAAGGAGGAATGAGTTAACATACATTGAAAATTCATAAATACATATATAATGAAAAGCATATGGCTGGACCGGGAATCGAAACCGGGACACCTGCATCACTAGTCAGGTGCTCTACCAATGAGCTACCCAAGTCGATACCCTCAGTCCAGCCTAAATTACTAATGCTATCTGCAGGTCTACAGGGCTTATATCATTTGTTGTGTTTTGTATAATGTATTATAATGTACAAAGTGCCAAGTCTAAATTCACTTTAATACATACCTGTTTTTACAACATAGTTTGCAATTTAGAGCAATAAAGATTAAGTTTGAATAAGATACAGGCATTCCTTGTGAAAAGGGGTTTATTGAGTGCTTCAAATTTAGGAAGTATCTGAATATTGGTCACAGCAGTCTCTCAAGATTTATAAAGCCATACTTAAACTAAATTTCCCCTTTGCCAAGGTAAGGACTATAGCCTTGATCTATATAGAGAAATGTACATGACCTGGTAGTTAAGGTTTATATAAAACACTAAATATTTTTGTTTTTATGCATATTTAACCTAATTTGTTTATATAGGTAATGACCTCAGCCTTTTCACCTGTATTGGTTGTAAATTGTAAAGGGCTTATAAGTACAATATATTATTTTACCCTGTGCTAAATATATCATTGTGATCATGAGTGAAGAACTCAGCACTTTGCTGTGGACAATATCTACAATAAGGAAGGCCATTTAGATATACATGTATATATAGTTATAGCCACTTTGGAAGTACAAAAAATTATGATAATCATGCAGTTCTAAAATAGTTTACAGTAATTAGGTCTACATGTTATAATCAATATGGTAAATATCTGAATTTGGTCAACTAACAATGATGTATGTTTTGTTCGTCTGTCTGCCTGTTACATTTTACAATCTCTTTTGGATCACTAATATTTAATATGTAATTGTGGATATATATGGAAAAGATCACTAGAGATTTGTTTGTTTGTTTGTTGTTTTTTTTTGGGGGGGGGGGGGGGGGAGGGTGAAATCTTTTACAGGATTGAGATACAATAAACTTAATTACATACACAGTATTTAAAACCTTAAAAATAGAGAGGTTAAGCATTTGACCGTGTGCGTCTACGTGTACGTGTAAACCTAGAAGTGTTTTTACAAGTACACGTAACTAGCATCGTGTTCTGTTTAACAAACTGTACGTGTAGCAGTATGTGTAAAACATCATTTCAACAAGTCACTCTATGATCCATTTGTATCAAATAATTCTATGACTTTAATTAAAAAAAGATACATAGATGTATGTAATAAACTCTCAATATCACAACAAACACCGCCTGAAAAATATATATTCTATAATTTGGGTTTAAGAAGCTACACGTTCTTTCCTACGTGTACATTTGAATCTACACGTTGTGTACAACTTCTAGAATTACGCGCTTTACAAAACTGATGACGTAAATCGCAGTAAATTAGGGGATTTCCCTAGCTACACGTACACTTAGACGTACACGGTCATCTGCTTAACCTCTCTAATATTAAAGAAATGTACAAGTAGAAGGTATTTTAGTAATATATCTTCTATATTAAACATTGGGACCATTCTTCAAAGTAGAGCATTTAATACTGCTCAATTTTCGAAATATGCATCTTGTTTCAGAAATTGCATCGTTTATATGTTTACCAGTATTTTATTCACAGTCTGGAAAAATGCTGTTAACCAAAGCCATTTCAAATAAAAACTCTTAAAACCCCTAGAATCCTGTTTATGATTTATCAACAGTTTAACTATGTTTCCCCACAGTAATGTTGAGAAGCAGAGATAAGAAATATTGATGAGGTGTTTTATAATCCTTATGAATGAACACTGCTTTAATAGTTTTGTCCATGTAGAAAAAATATAGTGCATTGAACTTTTGCATTCACTTATTTACACTCAAATAAGGTCATGAATGTAAGTGATTTTTTTTATCTGTTATCAGTGCAATGAAAAGTAGGTGAATAGGTCAATTTTCTTGCTAAATTGCCAAAATAATGTTTGTAATAAATACATTTATATAGCCAAACCTCAATATCTTGAACATGTTGGGAATATCAAACAAGAGGTCCATGGGCCACAATGTTCATCTGAGTCACTATGATCCTGCTAATTCTTCAGCATCTTTTACAGACAGACAGACAGACAGGTGACATACAAAATGTCAAAAGAGCTCAGGTGAGCTAAAAAATTCAAAATACATAATGAGACTTCAAGATATCGAGGTAGAAATTTGTTGTCTTTATAGGGTTGAGACCATTGATGCACCTTCAAATAACCTTTCTATTTGAATTTGATATATCCCTGGTAATTGGCATTCAAGATAACATTGTACATGGTTATAGCAAACATCCAGAGAGTGGAATGACTTGCTTAATTTGTAATTTGTTTTATTCACTGACAGATGTTCTATCTTTTTAATGTCAAAATGACTATAATATACAGGTATTTACTTTAAGTGTATTTGTTATAAACTGTTGCACTATACATGTGTATATTTGTACATATTGCAAGTGAATCCTTTTTTTCTCTTTTTTTTCATTTCTATGAATCCATATTAAACTTTCGAATTTTTTACTCAAATTAATCCGTATAATTTGAAAACTGTATGATGAAGTCATAATACATAGCATCTATCAGTTGGATATTGCTTAGTGTGATCTGTATATTTCCTAGAAGAAGACAATATTACTACAGTTTTATTTTTTACTTCAGGAGTCTCAGAAAATGACTTCACAGCGGTACCAGTACAGGGCAGCGGTACCTTTGCAGTGGAGGCAGTCTTCCACACTGCTGTACCGAAACCAAATGGAAAGGTTTGTCAGTCTTTCATTGATATTAATGATTTAGTATATTAAAGCTTACAACAAAATAATGAAACAAAATTTTAGTGAAAGATAAAAGAATAATGCATGCAACTTTTCTTGATTAATCAGAATAAAACCTTGGAAATTATAGACTTCATCAAATTACTGTATAACACCATAAAGCCTCCAGTAAATTATCCAATTTTGACTGTTGTCGCAAGCTTTTGAGAAAAAACTTTCATATCGTATTTATTTTAGATTATGAAAACCAACACGTCAGGTTATCAACTAAAAGTAATGACTGAAAAATAAAACATTTTGAAATGATTGCGATGGATACTCCTCTAATTGATCATATTCATCCTAGCTGTTGCTCAAAGATTCGTTGAAATTTAACATTTGGTTTTTTATTAAAAAAAAAAAAATAATTAAAAGTAGCAATTTATATACAGTTAAAGTATATCATTGAGGGAGTTAGCAAGATTCCAGTTCCCTAAGGCCAGGACTATTTCCTGAGGCGAAGCCGAGGGAAATAGTCCTGGTTGAAGGGAACTGGAATCTTGCTAACTCCCTCAATGATATACCAGTACTTTTAACTGTTTTATTATACCGATGCAAACGTAAAATTTAGAGGATTCAGATAGCGTGATTTCAAAGCAGGGATAAGCTCACTGAACTGACACACAGAGATTAGTCCATTCATATATCATACCAATGTAAAAGTAAAATCTAGAGGATTACGGATGACCGGGAATTAGCTTTTGAAGCAGGGATTAGCTCACTTGACTAATGCACGGGGATTAGTCCATTCATAAAGATTTATAGGGAATTAGTCACATCTAACAATCTTATGTTATATAGGGAAAATACCAGTAGAGGTATAATAATTATTTTTAAATCAGTGCATATAATGTTCACTTCTAGTTCTGAAATTTTCTTAGCAGTCTGTTGATTGGTATGTACAGTTATGATATAAACTATTGAAAAATGTTGTCAAAATATAGTAAGCTACATTACATCTTATATAACTAACCTAAAGGTTGAAAGCTTGCAATATATTAATAGTTTTATGCATAAAATTATTGAGGCACCATTTCTTTTTTGTTTAAGGGTGTAATCCATATACATATAGCTATTATAATTTACGTCTGTATAAAGTTCATTGATAATGATAATCACAAAATCATCACCTTTAGAACCAGGCTAACCTTAGATAGACATATATTCATCTTTACAAAGTTTACAAACATTTTTGCAAGTGATTATGGACTCACCAGGACAAAACTAAAATAAAACTAATTTATGTTGAACAAAAACATTGGCCAGTGTGTTTGGCTTATAATACTATGTATATGCATTTCAATCTATGGATCAATTTCATCAAAGAAGTATTTTCCATTCCCGTTATCTTCACACATTCAAATCATTTATATTTATTGAACATGCATATTATGGATATTTTAAATTGATTATGGAATATGCAATCTACATTCTCACTTTGAAGCGAATATGTTACAGTGAATTATATACCTCTGGAGAAAATAGGGTATGAAAATTATATACATTCTTATACTTCAGGAAATTCGTATTAAATGCACTTTATATTAATGACCTTAAATGCTCATCTTGGAATTAATTTAGGTATATAATATTTTTCATTATAGGCTGTCATTTTAAGGTATATCCAACTTTTCTTGTTCTAATTATACACCTTTCAATAAAAAAATTATAGTTGGTTCAGTTTATATTATGTGTAAGCTTTGTATGTGTTGTTAAACCAAAGAATGTTATTATTTACATATAATATGCATAAGTTCGTTGATTAAATTGTGTTACCTTGAAAGAAATTGTTACAGAGAAGTTACAACTCAGAGTAAAGACATGATAATTTTAAGAATGACAGTCAAGTTCACATAATACAATAGAATATAAGAAGCTGCTTTGCAGAACCATCATTGCTTATTATTTTGCATTATATTCCACATAATAGTTAATCTCAGTCATGTAGTCGACGTCATGAGAGAATAATCAACGATTCTGTGTTTAATGTAGAAAATTTAATTCGAAAGACAATATTACAAAATCTTTTCAGCACATGTTATTTGGCATCAGAGAATTAAAAATAAAGTGCAACCAGATGATATTAGTATTAGCATTCACTTCATAATCAAAGTCACCCTTGTCTCATGGTTCACATGTAGCTTACATCTGTCCTTCACTACCCTTTTTACATACCTATGTAAAATAAAGACAGTTCAAGCCTGAGTAATAAGATTTTAATTGACCCTATTGCTGCTTTATTACAAATGCCATACTTGTAAAAAATCATTCAATGCGATTCATTGAATTTGTTGGGTTCCATGTTTCATATGCAAATCAGTATTCATTTTTGCATTGAAACCATATACATCCAACTGATGAGTAATACGGTAATCAGTGTACAAAATTTTACCATGCTCTTTTAAGTGAACTAGCTGATATGCTGTTATTGGAATGATAGTAATTATGTTTATATCAAATATGCTTTTTGACCTGCAAAACCTACGCTTGGTATATACATGTCTGTAGATTTTGATTTACATTTCACTCTGAATTTGAAATCTCAAACTTTGTGAATGAAAAAGCTACATTCTCACCAGAGACTTTTTTTGTTGCTTTTTTAGGCATTAATACTTGAGAATGGAGCATATGGAAAAAGGATGGGGAAAATATGTGAAATACTAGGAGTCCCATACCGTTTAGAAGGTTTTGCAGAAAACAGCATGGTGGATGTGAAAAAAGTTGAGCAGATCCTTAGGGAAGACCCATCATTCTCCATGGTAGCCGTGGTTCACTGTGAAACTAGTTCAGGAGTTATCAATCCTGTTGAAGAAGTGGGACAGATGGTTAAAAAACATTTACCAAGTAAGAAAGGGTTTTTCTATTGTGTGGTTTTAAAATTTTTATGAAATATAGCAAGCAGCACTGAGTTTTTCAATTCAAAATATTTTATGAACATATATAGACAAAGTCTTTAACATATAATTTGCAGATTGTGTTTATTTTGTGGATGCTATGAGCAGTTTTGGGGCAGTACCACTTGATCTAGAGAAAGCTAGGGTTGACTTTCTGGTCAGTTCAGTCAACAAGTGTTTGCAGGGAATTCCAGGATTTTCTTATGCAATCGCAAGAACAGAGCAGCTACTTCAGTGTAAAGGTGAGGGGTTCTGTGTAGAGAGGTGTCAAGGTTAGAATACCCAATTAAAGATTAATAACAACAAGTGTTGTAGTGTACTTAATAAGTTAGAAACCTATGATTCTGTAGTGTATGTGTGTAATATGGTGTAAATTTTAGACACTTTTGTCACTTTAATCCATTTCTATAGGAGATTGTTAAGTTCAAAAACCTCTGTGTAAAGTTTAGAAAGCTTTGTCTTTATAGCTCGTCATTTTATAGAGCACTATGAGAGTTTAGAACAATATATTATTGTACCTTTAAAAATTATTTCTGCATATAAAAAAGTCTAACATTTCCACTGTTTTTGCTGAGTTGTCAAAAAATATATGATGTTGGATCTCTCAGTGAGATGTTGGACTGTTGGTGAGATGTTGGACCGCTATACAGTATTTGGGCACTCTAAATTTGGATTTGTTAATCCACAGCTCAAGGCAGAATTATTCAACATAAGTCAGCAATCTATGTCTATATAGTTTTCATTTGTTGATGTTCGATTGTTACAGAATTGATTGAGTTAAATCTGCATTTGCAGGTGAATGAAATTTAACTTTTGTTAGAAACGTATCAAACACAAAAGCCAATGCAAGATTTGTATTTGAAATAAATGTTAAAGGTGCTTGGACACAGATTTGAAGTTAATATTTTCTCAAATTTTCGGTATAATTTCATGACTTATATGTAACTATTAGCATTTCATACTAAAATGTAATAAAAATCTTGTTTCATCTCGAAGTTATTAAAACTTCGAATATCTGGACGCGTTGGATTGACACATCCTTGCGCTTTCACATATTTTAAATTTATTCTTAATTCTTAAGAAAAGTGGCAATTTTGTTGTGTATTAATGAAAAATATTAAAACTATAACCCAGAAAACTCATCTAGTAAAAATGTTCGAAAGCAAAACCCACTCACAGTATTGTAAGTCCGTGCTCAGTGGTGTGTGCAGAGTTTAACAATTGAACACACCCGGTGAATCGTAAACATTAACAATAACAGAGCTTGTGCCCTGTTTACAAAAACAGTTTACGTTTCACAGGTGTGTTCAATTTGTTAAACTCGGTACACATCACAGAGCACAGACTGACAATACTGGTGAGATGGTTTTGCTTTCGAACATTTCTACTCTGAATTTTCTGGATTATAGATGTAATATTTTTCATTAATACATAATAAAATTGCTTCTTTTCTTAAATATTAAGGATAAAGTTAAAATTTTTGTAAGTGCAAAGATGTGTTAATCAAAGGCGTCCCGGAATTCATAGTTCCAATAACTTCCAGATAAAATAAGTTTTTAATTATATTTTCGTGTGAAATGCTATTGCAATATACAAGTCGTGATATTATACAGAAAATTTGAGAAAATATTAAGTTCAAATCTGTGTCTAAGCACCTTTAAATTGAAGGTATAACAAAACATTTACTGACTGGATTCTTGGATAAAATGCCTTCAAACCAAATTGTTACATATGGATTAACAGTTTGATGCAAACAGTTTAGTTCTTGGGGCTCACAAAATGTATGTTGCCCTTATAAACCCAGTCAGTAAATGTATAATGTTTAGAAATATTTGTCTCTCTTTATGTGTGTCTTCTTCAGAATAATTATACATAGATTTCTCCAACTGAGGTGCAAATTATGGATGAAATTGATTTAAAACATTGTTTACCAAGGTACAAAATGTTTGAGTTGTTTATGTTCTATACATGACATCATAATATACACATATATATGGAATGTTGAATCTTTTTTTTTTTTGGTTGGGGGGGGGGGGGGGGTGTCTTGGACACTTAATTCACTTGCTCATTAAATAGTTTAAGAAACATTGGAAATTTGCGGGTGTTTGGCAGAAATGGTGAACCTAAACGGTATACAGAGGTCATTAAATGGTATAAAGAGGTCATAACACCTGTACCAAAGACAGAATTGGAGAGTGACACCTTAAAGTTAAAATTGCAAAAGGAGACCTTAGTACATGTAGGAGAAATCTGTGTAAAATTGTTGAAGATGACCATTTCAAATGGTATCCACTTGTGAGAATCATCAATAGATTTAACTTGAAGGTGTTGGTCTCCAGGTCTGTCTGTTTTCTGTTGTGATTTGTAGGGCACTTTAAAGGTTAGAAACCTCAGACTCTGTAGTGTATGTTTGTCGTACAAGGTTTTATTTTTCTTTGTTAATACTTGTGAAGAACAAAGTAAGCAAAATTTACATTTATTTAGTTTCAGAGCATCATAAACCAAGAATCTCGGGGATTTTTTTATTTGTCCTTCCCTCTATACCATAGGTAGAAAGAGATCATAATTGGGTTTTTTTTGGGGTTACATTTATTGAAAAAAATTGTGAACTCTAAATATACATACATTCATTGATACATAAATTCTAATATCTGCATCTCTGACTTGATTCATTGCCTCAAAATCTTTTGAAATTTCTGTTGCCCCAAGTCACACATTTTTTTTTTAAATTCAACAATTCTGAGATATCTAGCAGACACTAAAACAGGACAAACATTAGAAAATGTATAACTTTATTTGACTTTCATTGGAGGACATACTTGTGAGAAAACAGTTTTATTGGATTAATTTGCTCAACCATTTAAGTTTTATTGAATCTGTACCAGTCTGACCTGGATTGAAGTACTGATGAAGTCTTTGATAACCGAAATACAATACATGTATATATAAAATTTAATATTGTACATACAGCATTAAGCATACAGCCACATTAGCAACTTCTTGTTATTAAATAGGATTTTTAATTTCACATGAAAAAGAAGATTGCACTTATTTAAAGATCAGATAGAAATAAAATTTTTATTACTTTTGCATATTATTGACATTAAAAACCATCATAAAAGGATTTTTTGAAGGAAACATTTTTAGTGTTAAAGGTTACAAAGTGTATTCAATTATTCATCAGGGAAAGTTACTAAAAGTATCAAAGTCTGAGCATTTTATAAGTTATAAAAGGATTATTTATTCACAAATAGGAGTTCAAAAATATCTTCAGAATTATGTAATTAAGCATTAATAAAAAGATTGAACCACAAAATTATCATGTCATAATGATGGGAAAAGGAGTTTTCTGTAGTGAATAGTTAATGTCAATGTTATTCCTCCATGTTTCTAGAGTTAAAGATATTTACTATTTATAAGTGATTGAAAGACACTTTCATGCCCAGAAAGCCTTGACACATTTTGTAACCTTTACAGTATGAAATTTCTTGAAAATGACACAAGTTTGCCTAAACTTTGTAATTTTGTGTCCGTCACTTAAAGACACCATTCATTGTGCAATTACAGCCATGCCTTCTCTTAATAGTTTAGAAAATATTTGATGTTTTATGTAACAATTTAGATTGATAGAAATTTCTTCTTTGAATTTACCATGACCACCCAGCCCTCTTAAATCTGAAGATAATTCATTTTGTATAATGCTATTGATGGGAAAAAAAATAATTGAAAACTTAACTTGTATGGTATTTTTTTTTTTTTTTTAATAAAATTTGATAGCAACCATTCTTTTCTTTCATATGTAAGAGGAATATAATAACTTTATAGCCTACAAATTCTGGAATATATGGAGTTTCTTATGGAAGATATTTTGAGCATTGAAATTTATAAATGAATGTATAACTTGCATTGAATTTGAATTGCAGGTAATTCTGGGAGTCTTTGTTTGGATCTATATGATCAGTACGATGGTCTAGAGAAGACGGGACAATTCCGATTTACTCCACCAACACACTGCATGCTGGCTTTCTGTCAGGCTATCAAAGAGTTTGAGGAAGAAGGTGGTATTGATGGAAGAGCTGACAGGTATTATTTTGAAATGCAAGGCTTCTTTTTTCTTGTCCCCTGCTTTTGCTAAAAGCAGAGGATATTGATTTAATTTGGGTCTGTCTATCATTCTGTCTGCATTGAAATTTTATATCATAGCTCCCTAATAACTTAAAGAAGACTCCTATTGATTTTGAGGTTGATAAGTTAAAGTTAGAAACTCACTATATTGCATAAAATTATCTCCAGATGATAAATTAAGTTTTCTTTGATTTTTTGCAATGAAATTTGATATGACTTTAAGAAGATATCGACTCCTGGTTTTTTTTAGGTCAAAAGGTCATACTCATGAAATTGTTTCCAAGTGATAACTTATTAAAATAAGTTCTCTTTGATCATTCTGGCAAGTTCAAGGTCACTGGTAGAAAAAGTAAAAATCTTAAGTTCAGTTCATAACTCTCTAATGGATGAGTTTTAGAGGTACTTCAAACAAAGATTACTCATGAGCTGAGGGGAGGTCTTAACCTTGATCCAAGGTTTTTCTGGAAGGTCCAAGGACACTGTTAGAAAAAGTGTAAAATTCATGTCACATCTATAATTTTCTAATGGAGAAACAAAGGTTTTCCATATTTCACTCAAAGATTACTTATGACCTGTTTTTTAAACCAAGGTCAATTTGGCAAGTTCAAGTCACAGTTAGAAACATGTATATGGACACTTTTTAAAAAAATTGCAGGGAGAGGGGATGTATAATTTAGTGAGCTTGCTCACAGTACCTACTTGGATGCAGTCTGTAAACAACTGATACAAGGTTTCATGAATGTTTCACTATTACAAAGATTGAGTAAAAATGTTCAGCACATAAAGCTGCAACTTTTATTACAATCAAGCAGAAATGAATATGCTGAAATGTAATGTATCAGGATATACAGGTATACATTAAAAAATCTCAGAGATAAAATCTGCCAATCAGCAATCCTTTTAGTGTCAATTAAACTTTAAACATGTAGCTACAATTCTTACATATGCCATATTAAAGTTATTTTTAGTGCCTGAGCAAACTATGTGATGTCAGAGAAAGCACTTTAATTTATTTCTGAACCTGAGTTTTGTGCACAAAAGTTTGCATTATGTTGACAGTGTTCCTGGTTGTAATGGGTGAAATGCATTAAAGATCTTACTGATAAGGTTTGCCAATAAGTTTTCAAATGACTGCACCTCGATTTTGTGTTTTATTGACCATTACAAACAACTTGTGATACACTCAGGAGCATATATTCCATTCATCTACCTGTTTATATTTTGTAAAAGTGTTTTTTTTTATTATCTGCAGTATCTTGTTCTTTTTAAAATAACTTCAGGCCCTGCAAAGTTTTGGAGGTACACTGGAATCCGTCTATCCATCTTCTGTAGACATTTTTTTTGGTTAAAGATAATTTCTAAACCTTATAAAACTGGATTTTCTTCCTAACTTTTTGAAAATTTAATAATAAAAATGTATTTTGTGTTTATTATGACATTATGTGACATTATGACAAAATCTTACAAAATTTCCACACTTATTCTGGCTAACATTATTCAAGATATCTTTATGAACAAAAACATATGAGATATATTGCTGATTTCTGAAAAAAAATTGTTTGTGTTATTTATCCCTAAGGTAAATTTTCAAAAGAATTCATTTGGATGGTAAAGGATTATGAAAAGGGCCCAAAGTTCATGAATAATGAATACAAATAGGTCATAAAAACAAATGTGTTTATGTCCTACTTTAGATAGAAATCACAGGATCATGTCCAGAATAAAAACTGAACCATTTTTATGTGTTTACAGATATAAAGAGAACAGGAGAATACTACAAGAGGGAATGAAGAAGCTGGGGTTTGAGGAATTCCTTGGCCCCGAACATAAAGGATATATCATAACCTCATACAAATTCCCTAAAGACCCTCATTTTGACTTTAAAACTTTCTACAGTAAATTAAATGAAAAAGGTGAGTCTCTCTTTCACTTGTACCTAAAGTAATCAATAATCAGTTTTGATATCAGACCCAATGGTGTTAATTAAGGGTTCTTCAGTCCATATATGTATACAGGTGTATGTCTTGCAGATTGATACAAAGTTGACTGGTAGTTTTTACACACTTTAAAATATTTTCCATGCAAGATCTCAATGTTTTATTTTTTATTAAAAAGAAAAATTCAGTGGAATGAGATCATTGGCAAAATTGTTTGGATTTTTTTTAAGTTGTTGTTCTTGATTTCATTTGAAATAGTTAAGTACTAAGGCTGGCATCAAGACACAGTTGCTCTATAGTTATCACTGAGTCTGTATGTCAATCATCACTTTTAAGTGGCACAGTAATTTAAGTTTTTTTTAACAGACTTCATACTTACTACCTTTGTTGAAGATGGTTAGAAGATGACACTATTTGGGGGTCACTTTGGTCAAAGGTCAAGGTCATTATAGTTACCATTATGGTAACACTTCTTTTTGAACCAATAACTTTTACATTTTTATTAAAAATACTTCATACTCAATATGTGGTAAATGGTTAAAATCTGAAGAAAAACAGCAGGGCCAAGGTGACTCAGTGAGCATTTTGGCCTGTGGGCCTCTTGTGATAGATCTTGTATGAAAAATAATTTCTGTTATCGGTGATTAATGAATTTTGGATCAATATTCAAATCAGTGTTCCCGATTAAAGTTATAATAAGGCATGCACTTTTTACAAGATCTCTCTTCTCTTGGCCATTTCGACGCACCGTACACCTTTCTAGGAATTCATGATGAAAAAATAAATATTGATTTTTGATAACTTTTGTAAATGTTTGTGGATATTTATAATTTATTTATTTTATTGTCAGAATATTCCAACAGACATTATTTGTAACATGATGTATTTGTTGATACACTTAGTTTTGAAATTTTATCATTATTATGAACAAAAATAAAAAATAATCACAATGAACTAAAGTGCACTATATACCAAAATTTCACTGCTCATGTTTAATGTTGAAAAAAATATGGTATTCATGAAGTGAAAAAAATTAAAGACTGATGACATATGCTCCTTAACGAGGCCGAGTCTAATTACTTCTACCCTAGATATTTTGATAAAATTTCTTGAATGTATTTTTACTATTATACTAATTATTTTAAGAGAAAATACCAAATGTTTACCATTCCGATTTCTTAGGGGGCCATCTCTAAAGTCAAATTTTACTATTGGACCCTATGGGAATTTGTTGGAAAAGCACCAAATTATCACATTTTCCCCATATTTTTTGTATTTCTGCCCTAGGGATTTCCTTTCCAGTCAAATACATGAAAGTTATTGTAAAAAGGCACCAAATTGTGAAATTTCAAAAAAGTTTACCATCTGGTTTTGTCTAGGAATTATTACAAAGTTTATAATTTTTCCAATGCCCAATACCTCTAAATTTGCCATATTATGGCATACATTCTGTATATATCGGCGCAGATGAATTATTTTGGTAAAAAATAACCATGCTTAGATTGCTTATATGCTTCTTTTGATGTTCTCTCAACAGCTTTTAATAAAATGTCCATGGACCATGGATGTCTTGAATACTCAAGCAAGTTATGCATCATTCTTCAGCGTCATTCATTGCTTACAGAACCAGAAAACATTGGAGTCGTGAAAGCCATTTCAGCGTTTATTCCTAATTATTGTCTTAAAATCACATTTTAAGACCCATAAAAGTCACAGATGATATAATATAATGTTAATTTTGTATCAAAATTACAATACTTAGGATAGGTGTTATGTTGCACCTACGACTGCATGAAACTAAAAAGCTGCGCAAAAACATGCACACTCAAATTAGACTCGGCCTCATTAAGTACTTGTGACAAAACTTTTTTCTCTAAATGTTTGAAATACAGGTAAATGGATTTGGTTCATCATATTAAAGTGCATGGTAATTTTTATATTATATTTTTACAGTTGATTAAACAAGAGGCCCAGGGGCCACATCGCTCACCTGAGCACTATGGCTAGGAAAAAGCAGAAATCATTTCAATCTTGAAAGGTTGAAAAGTTTAAATATAAAAGTGGTTGGGGGGGGGGGGGGGTGTCAGGAATTGAACAAATTTGAATCTACATTATCTGAGGATGCTTCCATTTAAATATGACCAATCATGGCTTTGCTGTTCTCGAGTAGAAGATTTTTAAAGATTTAACTTATGTATTCCTATGTAAAACTTTGATCACCCATTGTGGCCCCACCCGATCCCCAGGGGTCATGTTTGAACAAACTTGAATGTACACTATCTAAGAATGCTTCCATATAAATATGACCAATCATGGCCATGGCTTTGCTATTCTTAACAAATTGTTTTTTTTAAAGATTTTTACTATGTGTTCCAATGTAAAACTTTGATCGCCCATTGTGGCCCCACCCTACCCCCGGGGGTCATGATTCGAACAAATTTGTATGTACACTATCTGAGGATGCTACCATATAAATATGACCAATCATGGCTTTGCTATTCTTAACAAATTATTTTTTTTTTTTTTTTTTTTTTAGAATTTTTACTATGTGTTCCTATGTAAAACTTTGATCGCCCATTGTGGCCCCACCCGACCCCCGGGGGTCATGATTTGAACAAATTTGAATGTACACTATCTGAGGATGCTACCATATAAATATGACCAATCATGGCTTTGCTGTTCTTGAGAAGAAGATTTTTACTATGTGTTCCTATGTAAAACTTTGATCGCCCATTGTGGCCCCACCCTACCCCAGGGGGTCATGATTTGAACAAACTTGAATCTACACTACCTGAGGATGCTTCCAAGTAAATATGACCAATCATGGCTTTGCTGTTCTTGAGAAGAAGATTTTTGAAGATTTTTCCTATATATTCCTATGTAAAACTTTGATCTCCCATTGTGGCCCCACCCGACCCCCGGGGGTCATGATTTGAACAAACTTGAATGTACACTATCTGAGGATGCTACCATATAAATATGACCAATTATGGCTTTGCTGTTCTTGAGAAGAAGATTTTTAAAGATTTTTCCTGTATATTTCCTATGTAAAACTTCGATCGCCCATTGCGGCCCCACCCTAGCCCCGGGGGTCATGATTTGAACAAACTTGAATCTACACTACCTGAGGATGCTTCCACATAAGTTTCATGTTTTCAAGCACAGTGGTTCTTGAGAAGAAGATTTTTTAATGATGCCATTAATTTTTCACGAATTCTTAATTATCTCCCCTTGGAAGAGGGCGTGGCCCTTCATTTGAACAAACTTGAATCCCCTTTACCCAAGGATACTTTGTGGCAAGTTTGGTTGAAATTGGCCCAGTGGTTCTTGAGAAGAAGTCGAAAATGTGAAAAGTTTACAGACGGACAGACAGACGGACAGACGGACTACAGACAAAATGTGATCAGAAAAGCTCACTTGAGCCTTCGGCTCAGGTGAGCTAATAAGACATTCTTCAGGGAGGCTGTTGGAGGGTTTAGATGATCTGTTTACCAGATGTCTTGTTTTGACAGCACAGTGCAGTCAGAGTTCACAAATAACAATTAACTATACCCACAATGTATAAGAAGTCATTGTACCATACATGGATGGTTTACTAATGACCAGGAATACAGCTATCTGAATTCCATATCTACATAAATATCCTTGAAATTGAGTCACTGTTTTCTTCAACTTTTATTCACTATTAGACCTAGATGAACTTTGTTACCAAATTTTGAAAACTTTTTTCCTTGACCTTTAGTCAGCCATGTTATTCGTTCAAAATGAAATTAATCCCTATGTTTTATTAAATGTTTTGCAATAAGCATAGCAAAAAGAAATATATATATGTAAGGGCTAATTTAAATTAGACTGACATTTTACTGATTGATGGTAATATTGGGAAAAGTGAAATATATGTAATTGAAATGATCATATAGTACATTTCAGTGTAGTTTGAATAATTTAATTTTAAAAAAAAACAAAAACTTTTCATAGTAAAGGTTAGATATCTAAAGATAGACTGAATTGACATTCAGCCACAGTCACCTCTGTTGTTTAATATATCTTGAAGCAATAAAAAAATGTAAGTAATCCCTCTCCAATTATGAACTATAGGGTTAGAATTTCATCAAAACCAGGGAGTAAGGGAATGGGGGGGGGGGGGGGGGGATGAAATTCACACTTTTTGTAGCCTTTTACTTGGAGGCTTAATTCACACTAATTTTGGCTGAAAATTATGTTGTGGTGGTATTTTTTAGGCATTTTCTCATATCATAAAACTTGTATCCCATATTTTTATTACTGCATATCATAAAACTTGTATCCCATATTTTTATTACTGCATATCATAAAACTTGTATCCCATATTTTTATTACTGCATATCATAAAACTTGTATCCAATGTTTTTATTACTGCATGCAACAAGAAAAACTAGAACATAGGGTTTACTTCTGTTAAAGCAATTTTGGAAAGAATTGATTATCCCTATGGTCCTAAACAGTTATATTTGTTGAATTTTTGATATCCAGAAATTGATTTTTTGATATAAAAAAAAAACAGCTGAAAATTTATGATATCGCAAAACAATTATTCAATATCAGAAATTTGAATTTTTGAAATCCAAAAGTGATTTTCTGAAATCAGAAAATAGAATTTTTAATATTAGAAAATCATTTTTTGGTAACAGAAAATACCTAAAAATACCAAAACTGCACAGCTCAAAAAATTGGCCAAGTAATTTTGAAAGGGTAGATGAAATAGCAGTACATGATAGCATCACCTGAGTGACTCAAAAATTAAAAAATTAACAGAAAATGGACGAGTACTCACAGTAGATGATGTATAAATATATATTATTATAACAGTAACTTGATCCGAAGAGCCGTATCACGTCAAGTTGACTGGCGCGGATCATCAGATCAAACGAGACGCGAAGCGTCGAGTTTGATCTGATGATCCGCGTCTGTCAATGAGACGTGATAAGGCTCTTCGGATCAAGTTACTGTTATAATGATAAATTTATTATATACTCCTTTATAACTAGCAAAATATAATAAAAGGAAACTTTTTGGATCAATTACAGAACTTAAGTCCATTAAACAAACCATTTTGTCAAGGAACATTTTGATGCGCGAGAATAAAAAATGTCATTTATCTGTGTACTACGTCATCAGTTTCAGAGAGGGGTGATATGGATTCAGAAAACCACAGTGTGGTGATCTGGAACATCGGATCACATTGTCACGTGATTGCGTGAATTCAACAGTAAAACTGAGTGACAAACAGTTGGGTATATAATAAAATAAAATATTTAACCTAGAATCTAGAGTAAAAAATGCTACTAACTCCTTTTATTAAATGTGTTGGAATAAACACTATTATCTTGAAAAAAGTCCTCACATCAAACATGAATATTTAATGAAACTGCTGAGGCAAGGGACATGAATTTCATTGTTTATTTTGCCTCTGAGCAGATAACTTTGCTTGTTATCACTATACACTCAGTTTGTCTTCTAGATGCTTGCTCAAAATGATTTTTAAACATGAAACACATTCATGAAACTACCCCATATAGTCTAGCCCTGGAGCCCAAACCTCTGGGAGAGGGGTAATAAATTTTACAATTTTTGTTCAGGCCCCATTTTTTTGCTATATATGCATTCCTATAGGTTTGTTAGTAAAAAAAAAAAGTAAAACTTTAAATTGAGGCATACTTTCTTGTCATTGTGGTCCCATCCCCAAGGTCCTTGGGTCATAAAATTCACAACTTTTGTAGCCCTTCACCATAGAAGCTTCACACTAATTCTGGCTAAGAATTTGCCCAATACAGTGTAAGTTCATGGGAGAAGCTGAAAATGTTCAAAAGTTAAAGGACAACAGACAATGGATGACCAAAGATAGCAATATAGGTCCTCTGAGTGAATCAGGTGACCAAATTAAATGCTGGCAGTGTTTGTAATTGGATAAGAAATTTCTCTCAGTCTAAGAATTGTGGTCCCAGGCTGCTTTTGGTGTCGTAGTGGTTGGGATGCAGTCATGTATGGCATATTTAACTGTCTTTTTTATGTGTCCTTCAAACTTCTAGATCATGGTCATGAAGTCAAAAATGATGTAACTTTCTGAAAGGTGTTGACATAGATAATGAACATGTTAAATATGAAAGCCTTGTCTTCTTTCATTCAGAAGTTCTTACCAGTGTAAAAAAAAATATGAAAAAAGATTGGAGGTTGAACTTAAAGGCCAAATCACTAGGGTACATTCTGAATGATCTTGAAACAGGTAATTTCAGATATAAATATCCTATCTTCTCTCATTCAAAAGTTATCAACAATGTTATAATTTTTGAAAATTAGGTCCAAATTCAAGGTCAAGGTATGGGGTTTAAAATCATAGTACATTTTGAAAAGTCACAGGTAATGAACATGTCAAATAAGAATGCCCACCTTTTCTTTCAAAAGTTAGCAGCAATTATAAATATGTTTTGAAAATTAGATCAAACTTAAAGGTCAAGGTCACAGGGTCAAATATCATAACCACATTTGGAAACTTCTTGTCACAGATAATGCACTTGTCAAACTTCTGTCATTCTGAAGCTATAACCAGTGTTAAGATTTTTTAAAAGTAGGTCAGACTTAAAGGTCAAGGACATAGGAGCAAAAATCAAGGTAAATCTGGAAAGGTCTTGTCACATGTAATCTACATGTGAAATATGAAAGTCTTATCTCTTCTCAATCAAAAGTTATGACCAAGGTAAAAGTAATGTTAAAAGTTTTGAAAAAGAGGTCAAACTTCAAGGTCAAGGTCACTGTGTCAAAAATCATAGTATATTTGAAAAGGTTTTGTCACAGGTAATGTAAATGTGAAAAGTAAAAGCCCTATCTGTTCTCATTTAAAAGTTATAACTAGTTGGATGAGATGGACAGAATGACAGACAAATGAGATTTAATATCAATAAATATCAATGAAAATTTCAGCAGACAGATACATGTGCATGCAACAAGGACTGCACTCCATTTAAAGTTTAGGTGAAAATGGTATTCACACTCTAAAGTACATACATACACAGACTTCATTTTGTTGTAGAAAATGGTTTCAAGTATAATCAAACCATTTGCCTGTTTTGAAACCCAAATATTGAACCTCTTTTATTTTAGGCCTGGTGATATACCCTGGAAAGGTGTTGAATGCAGACTGTTTCAGGATTGGCACCATTGGTCAGCTATTTCCGGAGGACTTTCACACATTACTTGGTTGTATTGAGGAGGTTTGCAGGGAGATGAATATAAAACTCCCTGTTTCTTAATACAGTTTCATACATGTATGTGTGTTTGTACTACTTGTACTACTTGTTTGGGATGACTGCAGGGTGTTTTACTTAGTAATATATTTTATATTTCAATTATACATTTCAATGTAGACATTAAAATTTTCAGTGTATTACATTTTTTCATGATTATACTAAACACATGGGGATTTTTGACACATTAAAATCTTGTACTGAGTGTATCTTTTTCTGTGTGTTATGTGTTTGAATGAATGATAATGCAAGGATTAATGGTTATAACCATTGCAGAAAAAAATTACATTTATGGGTTATGTATTTTTTTTTTCTGCAAGGTTGCAACCATTAATTCCTGAATTAACAAACAAAAAAGCATTTTATTATTTAAATAACATGATCCTTTTACCATCCTGAAATAACATGATCCTACCAGTACTACCATCCTGAAATAACATGATCCTACCTGTACTACCATCCTGAAATAACATGATCCTACCGGTACTACCATCCTGAAATAACATGATCCTACTGGTTCTACCATCCTGAAATAACATGATCCTACCAGTACTACCATCCTGAAATAAGATAATCCTACCAGTACTACCATCCTGAAATAACATGATCCTACCGGTACTACCATCCTGAAATAACATGATCCTCCTGAAATAACATGATCTTACCGGTACTACCATCCTGAAACATTAAACATGAATGAAATTGCACTTAGACATAAATTCTAATTAATACTTACTTAGATCTGACTGGTGAAGGGAACCATATTTTTATGACGTCGAGCTCTTGGAGCTCGAACGTCATCTAGCGATCGGCCAAGTGAAATCGCCAAGGGATGTACGCGACCGAATGTGTCAGTGGATGCATCCGCAATAGAAAATAGCAATAGCTATAAACCAATTTCTTTTAACACGCTCACAATGAATAATTATAGCTTGAAAATGAAATTGCATCAATTGTATCTACAATTAATTCTTTTACAAAACAACGATATTATGTTTTATTTTCACACAATAAAAACGTGATGGTTGTTGCGGATGAATTTCTACAGAAAGGTGCGTCGATATGACATGAATAACATTTTGGAACGATAACCGTGGAACACAAACAACCCAACAGGCGGTAAAATAATTTACAAAATTACATAAACACGAATACTATAAGACTGAAAAGATTGAATTTGTAAATCTTAGCTTTACTTTTACAATCTTCTGACCAACTTTATCCTAAAAACCGATGATGTTGACCAGTATTACTGTATTTCTCCATTTCCTCCAATATACCACCCCCTATCGTAACTCGATCGTACGTGTAACAGAGTAGAGTCATGGTTGTAGTTTAGATGCAATCACCAAAACAACGCTTTGACATTGGCAATTAGAAAGAATAATATATAAATTCATGAAGTCCTTCATAGTTCTTCAATTGACTGAAAAGATATTAGTTTGATATTTAGCATGAACATGTTCGATGGTGTCTGGTCAATTCGAACCCTGCTCCATTCGGACCATGACATAAGGCCCCAGACTGTAATTGTGACATTTTGTTTAAAACTATTTTTTTATTATTATTATTATTATGTCACCTGAGTCACTCACTCGACCTATTGCTATCTTCAGATTCTTTTGAAATTATTTTTCTTGTTCGACGTCATTGAAGCCTTTCAGGCTTTTGATTTATTTATTTTTTTTTCTTTTACGTAAATTGAATTTGTACAGTGTTTCCTATCAAGAAAAAATTCATATGATCAAAAAATTATGAAATTCTCTTTTGAAAGAAATGATATACCGTTTACTTGTTGGGCTTCTTCCTTCAAATGTTCTTTATCTTTAGAACATCAAATTTCAGTTACACAATGTGTTGCTTCTATCCTAGATTAATAATTCTCCTCTTGATTTTTATGGTATTAGTTAAGTTACTGTAACAACCCTAATTAATTTATTGAAAGACGAGCAAGATCAGTATCTGGCTGTGTAGCAGCTGTGCATTTCATTTCTATAACTTAAATGTCAAGAACCCTTTTATGGCTTTAGTTATAGGCTTTGGTCTACTTGTGCATGAAAAAAGGACAGTTCATGGTTAGAACCTAGGTCCCTTTTTAAATTCAATGCACACATTTGATTTGAGCATATTGAAAAAATACAGGTGAAGCATCTTGGCATTGACACAGTAACCATTGACACCATTCCTCTCAAAAATGTAACCTATGAATTAAATAATGTGCCTCTTTAATACAGTTCCTTTTTAGCTCACCTGAGCCAAAGGCTCAAGTGAGCTTTTCTGATCACATTTTGTCCAGCATCCATGTGTCTGTCCGTCTGTTTGTAAACTTTTCACATTTTCTTCTTCTCAAGAACCACTGGGCCAATTTCAACCGAACTTCCACAATGTCCCTTGGATAAAGGGGATTCAAATTTGTTCAAATGAAGGGCCATGCCTTCTTCCAAGGGGAGATAATTACAAATTAGTGAAAAATTAATAGCATCTTTTAAAAATCTTCTTCTCAAGAACACTGGGCTAGAAAATATAAAACTTATGTGGAATCATCCTCAGGTAGTGTAGATTCAAGTTTTTTTTTTTCCAAATCATGACCCTTTGGTGTAGGGTTGGGCCACAAAGGGTGTTTAAAATTATACATAGGAAAAATCTTTTAAAATCTTCTCAAGAATAGCAAAGCCATGGTTAGTCATAAAGATATAGCAGCATCCTCAGGTAATGTAGATTCAAATTTGTTCAAATCATGACACCCTCTTCCCCTCCAGGAGTAAAGAGATTCCAAAACAGGGGATCAAAGTTATACATAGGAATACACAGGAAAAATCTTTTAAAATCTTCTTCTCAAGAACAGCAAAGCCATGATTAGTCATATTAATATAGAAGCATCCTCAGGTAATGCAGATTCAAATTTGTTCAAATCATGACCCCCCCCCCCCCCCCCAAGAAGTAAAGAGATTCCAAAACAGGGGACCAAAGTTATACAAAGGAATATAAAGGATATATCAGTACAAATTCTCTTCTCAAGAACAGCAAAGCAATGATTAGTCATCTTAATTCAGAAGTATCCTCAGTTAGTGTTTTTCAAGTGTGTTCAAATCATGATGTCCTGGGGGATAAGGCAAGGCCACAATAGAAGATGAAAGGTATAGAAAATTCTTGAAAAATCTAATGCTTAGCCCAAAGAAATATGGAAGCATCCTTAGGTATGTAGATTCAAGTTTGATCAAATCATCCCCTTCTTTTTTAAATTTTCAATACTGGACTGATTTCTGCTGTTCTGTAGCCAAATGCTCAGCTGAGCGATGTGGCCCATGGGCCTCTTTGTTTAAAAATTAGAATTATCTTCATCTTATTTTAAGTAAAAACTGAGCCAAAAGTTGAGCAGATTAATTGCATATCAAAAATTGTTTGCATAAGAATGATTAATAATTGTCAGTGTTGCTCACGTTAAAAATAATTCAGGCGTAAAATTGTAGACGTTCACTTTGAACATTCGAATTCCGATTCTCAATTTGATTTTATTATTTACGTTGGATAAATAAATGTTAGAAATAATAATAAAAATATGCTTTTAAGTTTTTATAAGCTTCTTTTTAAACAGTTTGAGAACGAAATTGATTACCAAGGTGCTTGAATTTTGAAAATCTGATAGTTTAGGGTATATTTAAAGCATGAAAATTTCTTTAAAAAGAAAAAAGTCATTTTATAAAATAAGTGTATATATAAGAATATTGAAGGTGAAACGTTCTACTGTAAAATGCAATTTTTAAAAAGAAAAAAAAAACCCTACCCCCTCAGTGAAATTTGGTACACAGTTAAAGACTATTTCAACTGGAACTAGTATGCTACAATTAACTTACTGACTGTATTTATTACGTTTTGCCTTTCGTCCATGTAGAAACCTGTCATGAGGTTGATGGAAACATTACATTAAATGGAGAATTACTTCTGTCGTTTACCAGTTTTCGACTGAATTTGAAATTGAATACATAACAGTTGATAATTATTTTCAATTTCAAATAGAAAATTAATAAACTGCAGTTTTTAGGTATTAAACCACCAAGCCCTCGTGAGGAATACTAACCTTCGGGTGCAAATAATGTAGAATGCATTTTTTTTTTAGGTCAAGGTGAATGTTTCATTCGATTGCTTTGAAAATCAAATAAGGCCAAAGTTTTTTTTTCAATTGGTTTACGATTCCGCCGACCCTAATTTTCACCAATCATGAAAATAAAAATAATGTCTTTTTCCGACATATTTTTCAGGATTTTTCTCAGCTGAACTGGTGGGTTTTAAATTTTAGAATGCATCTTAGTCAAAAAAGCGCTTATAAATATATGAGACCTTAACAAACATTTAGGTGACCGTAAATAAACACATGTGCAAACCAAAAATGGCGGTTCTCTCATGTAACAAGGTAATTCCTCACTGAAAGGAATGACACACACTTAAAGAACTTTTTATGCATGGAAAAGTGAATAAAATCTTGGATGCATGATCCCTTTCTCTAATTGCGATGTCTCAATTGGCTAAATTCATCCCGTAATATTGGAGAGTGTATGACCAACCCTGATCGACCTAGCAGACACAGATACACCTATAGGTAACAGGGATTTATCAGTGCCTTCTCATGGGCCGAAATTCGGCCTCATTCCCAATTGAAAATGAGTTCAGTTTTCCCAGTTTGGCAGTATTTTTTCCCAATTGGTGAACAATGCTTTTATTTTATTTTATCTTTGGGAAAAAAGTAAAATTGTCAGATTGTCTGTAATTTTCATCTATTTAACTCATTTAGCAAAGCTACAGTCATAACACATGTTTTAAAACACTGAAAAAACGTCGCCAACTTTTAATCCAAATTTCCTCCGTTTTCTAAAAATGATGATATTGTGTAATTATATAGATTTATTAAGTTATTTCCATCTACTCAATTGATCTACAAGTGAATGGTAAGGACTTTATGCATTATTTCAGATAGAAAAATATATTTTCAATGCATTAATACATATTAAAAGAGGACTTTTAGAAATGTGTACTTAGTATAATTTTTTGCAGGAGGTTTATAATCTCCAGAAACAGATACTATAATGACCTAAATTGAAATCTCATACACACATGTACATGTACCACCCTAAGTTGTATAAATACTTTATACTCATTGAAGTCCATTCTAATTGTCGTTTGGTTGCCCAAATTAGAGTTCATGCTGAAATGT